CCCCAAATGAAATCCCTTCCTTGGTACCCAGGCAACGCCTCCTGAACCCACTATTGGTTGGTTGGTTGGTTGGTTGGTTCATTCAACCATCCAGTGATGATCTGTTGTGCCAGGCACTTTGTAAGTACTGTGGCAGATACAGGAATAAACATGACAGTCTCTGCTCCTCAGGAGCTCAATCTAGTGGGGAAAATGTATCAACCAAAAGGTGGGGTGCACTGTGGTAGCTGCATTTAGAGTGGCAGAGAAGCAAAACACTGCAGGAGAAAGGAGGGTACCCACTAGTTCTGCAGAGAGATAAGGAAGGTTTACCAATGGGAGTAACATTTCAGCTAGACTTTGAAGGATGGGTTTGCTAACACGCATAAAGAGAAGGGGCTTTGTAGGCAGCAGAACAGCCTGCGAGTATGCAAGGACAGGGAATGAACTGGAATTGGTATGACTGGAGTATAGAAGACTTGCACCAACATCAGGGGCCTCTTTCCGGAGAGGCCTGGGTCACTGAGCAAGTGAGTTCGTTGCAGAAACTGGGTTCAGTGGCAGAAGTTTGGAATGTCTGGTCCCTGGCCTCTTAGCCTCTCTCACATGCACAGGCAGGTCCAGTTTCAATGCCCTGCTGCCTGGCTTAGAGCTGTCAATGACAGCCCTTCCATCTCCCTTTTTCCTTCTTAAGGGTCTGCCCCTGAGCTCTGAGGATTGTTCCCAGTAAACCTGGGAAGGAAGCAGAACTTAAAGAAGGCTGATCCATTGTAATGTTTGGTCCTGACCCAGACATTTGCCTAGGACCAGAGTCCTTAGATCCCAGCTCCTGATGCTGCAGAGCTAAACTCTGTGACCTTCATAGTGCATCCTGTTTGGCTCTGAGCCTCTCCTTGCTCATGTATCCCAGAAAAGGAGCTGGGTAAACCAGGTTGCCCTTTACCGAAGAGAGGCTACTTTCAAGTCCCCAAAGTGTTCAAAGGCGTAAGAGTAGGTTTATTATGCCAAGAGTTCCCTGTTCTTTATCTCCAGCCATAAACAGTAATGAGGGCAGGAGAGGAAAAGATTCTTAATTTCTGGGCTAGTTCAGAGGTGGGTGCTCAAAAAAAAATCCTCAGTTGGCTGCCTGGTTTGTCAGCAGTATCTGTCCAAAAATTCCCACACATTTCCCAAATGCCATAATTCATTTTAATTGGATTTCTAGAGAATAGACTCCAGAGATAAGAAGGAATTTGATTTATTTTAGATTTGTACCACACCTTTTTCTGAAAGAGTTTGAGACAACGTATGGGTTGAAACAAGGTTTTTAAGCAAGACTTTTAAGGACGAAACACAATTTGCTGGTGAAAAAGATGAAAAAAGTAAGTTACTTCCAAGCATTGCCATGTTCCATATTTAAGCCATACTTTTGATTGAAAGATTCTTCAGGGAAAAGGCCAAGAGGGAAAAACACTCGGTCACCCAGTGTCCACTTTCTGAAACCAGAAAGCATACAGAATCTCTGTAGGGAAAACATTTTCCTCAAGCTAAAGCTTGACAGGAAGAGATGTGTTTGGGCCTAAGAAAGCTCAGTGAGGGTGAAGAGTACCCAATTCAGGTCAGCTGTCAGTTCTCCGCCTGCAGTGCCCCAGTGCTGTGTGAGAGATGTTCATGTCCACAGGCCTCCTAATGGCAAGCAGACTGGACCGTGACAGATACACTGCCCTCCGCAGGACCTATCAGGACTGGCTCTTGGTCCAGGGAGAATGTAGCAGGGTGTAGTGACTAGATTTCAAAAGGCAAAGGACTCAAAGACTAAGTTTTCCACCTCGATTTTACCAAAGATAAAAAAGACACCATCCCAAGCAATAGCAAATACCTTTGTGTGATTATGTGTCAGGCACATTTGTTCATTTTACCTTAACAACAATTCTGTGGAAGAGGAATTATTATTTACATTTTACAAACAAGGAAATTGATGTCTAATTTACCCATTTGATCTCAGAACTAGATGCCTCTTTCCCACTATATGCCCTTTTTATTCAATCCAATAATTCATGTTTTTTAAAGTTTATTTATTTTGAGAGAGAGAGAGAGAAAATCCCAAGCAGGATTTGTGCAGTCAGAGCAGAGCCTAACTTGGGCTTGATCTCAGGAGCCAACCACTAGATCATGACCTGAGCCAAAAGAGTTGGAGGCTTAGCCCAATAATACTTAATTGAGGTTTCCTTGAAGAAAGGGAACATTACATGACATTCTGGCCAGGAGGATGCAGTGCAGGGATGTAATGCTTTAATGACATAACTTAACCTGGGAGTAGAAGCTGGAGACCTAGATGAACAATGGGTAACTTAGCTGCCCCATCATGTCCATTTCTAGGTGATTTATTTGAGATTTTTGACTGATCCCAGGCCACAGCCAAGTCACAAGTGATTCTCTGTGATTTGCCCACTATGTGAACAGATAATTACATACCATCTCCCTCCATGTCTCTACTTCCCAGCCCTCTCATCACCATGCTCCCCTCCCCCAATTCTCATTGTTTGAAACACGAATCAGGATATGCTGTGCTCCCAACACCTCCCAGGATTGCACATGCTGTATCCCTCAACACTTCTCAGATCTCTCTCTACCTAGAAGCCTCCCCCGAGTTCCCCTCTCTCTGTCCTCAACCCCATGTGAAGAAGGCACCTCCCCTTTGTTCTCCCAAAGAGCCCTGTATATACCTTTTAGAGCTATGTTTTCATGGTGGGTTTACTTGCTGGTCTGTGATCTCTTTATGCATCTTTGTATCCCCAGAGCCTTGCACAGTGCCTAGGGTGTAGGAAGTGCCCAATAGTGTTTGTTGAACAGACGTGATGAGCAGCTACTGTGTGTCAGGCACTTGTGGGCACTAGATATAGAGGAATGAGTAGAACAAAGACCCTTCCCTTGAGGCGCTCAGAATCTGAAACATCAAGTCATGATTAGAGCCCAACACTGTAAGATAAAAGGAGACTTAGGGAGCACAAAAGAGGAAGAAAATAGCTTAGTTTGGGGAGTGAGGGAAGTCTTCCACAAGTGATCACTTATAAGCTGAACCTTAAAATAATGAAAGATTTTCACCTAAGGAGTTATCCCAGGGATAAGGGGGAAACGTACAAAGGCATGAAAGAAGTTCAATGCTTGGAAAAGTGCAAGAGGTACTGATATCCTTTGCCATAATTTGGAGCAACAAACACGTTCTAGATTTCAATATGAAAGACGTAAGGTTGTTGCACTGTTGTAGATGTTAAGGCTTTAATGTTCTGTTTTGTTTTTAATCAGTCAAATGCATTTTATCACAAGGGAGTAAAGATGTTATCGTCACCTTAGATGAAATAAATAATAACTTATTTATAGTTTCTGGTCTACTTCCAGAAACCAAAGTGGTTTGCTTTGACTTGTAATAACAGACACATTCACAATAAGACTTGTTCATATAGAAACAAGAAGCAAAAATTACAAAGGGAATAATATCACTTCCTAAGATCTTTCTCCTTCTATAAGTCACTTGGGGTTCAGGAAAACCCTCTGAGGCTGGGCCACAGCTTCTCTCTGGCTCAAAGACCAGCATGTAGGAGTGCTCCAATAAATGCTTGTGGGTTCAGGAGATCCATGGATGTTTTCTTCATTTTCCAAGTGATGCCACAGATATTTCCTGGTGCTCTGGTTTCTTCAGGCTTCCCTCACGCTTGTCAGTGGGAATAATCATCTCTACTTTGCTGTCCTTCAGAGTCATTGTCTGTGTGAGCATTTTCTTTCTTTTCTTTTCTTTTTTTTTTTTTTTTTTTACAAATAGTTTATTGTCAAGTTGGTTTCCATATAACACCCAGTGTGCCAGTGTGTGTGAGCATTTTCATCTAAGCTACTTCCAGATGCTCTTGCCCTTTGGAAGTTTTCCTCCCTTTTTTAAGTGACTCCATGGGTAAAACTTAGAAAACAGAAATTCTCCTCCATAATACTATAACAAAGGATGTTCGTGGTTAATTCTTTTTTTATTAAAATAATTTTTTAAAATTTGTTAATGTTTATTTATTTTTGAGAAAGACCAAATGTGAGCGGGGGAGGGGCAGAGAGGTGGGGAGACACAGAATCTGAAGCAGGCTCTAAGTTCTTATCTGTCAGCACAGGGCCTGACGTGGGGTTGAAACCCAGGGAACCGGGAGATCATGACCTAAGCCGAAGTTGGCTGCTTAACTGACTGAGCCACCAGGTGCCCCTAAAAAAAATATTTTGACATCACTTCAGACTTTCAGAAAAGTTTTCAAGAATGAGACAAAGAATTCCTGAATACTCTTCACCTGTATTCCCAGTTCTTAACATTTTACTACATTTGTTTCCCCTCTCTCTCCTTTCCCTCTCTCTCTCCTGCTCTCTCTCTTTTCTAAATCTGTTTAAGAAAAAGTTGCAGGCATTGTGCACCATTATATAAGCCAAAATACCTCAGTGTATATTTTTTAAAAACAAGAAATTCTTATATATACCCATACTATTACTTTTTATTTTTTATGGGTGCCCTTCTATTGCTTTTTTCTATGAACACATTTATGTACTTATATATAAATTAAGTAATGCATTGTTTATAAATACTTATAATGGCTTGCTCTTTTGGAGGGGTTAGCAATAAAGATTGTATACAATCTCAAGCCAGTAAAAATTCTACAGCGTGATTCCTCAGCAGACTCTGACTTTAGACACGACGGTTTCTGGATGGCCCATTTTACCAGGCCACTCTGCTTCAGAGAAGGGACCATTCTTGTGTTCTTCCATGTCTAGTCACATATCAGTGGAAGCCACTGCATAAATGAGTAAAGACGCAGGGTCCTGAAAGCCTTGAATTAAAATTTAATCTTTATTCTGCAGCCAGTAGAGATCCAATGAAAGCTTTATAGCAAGGGAGAAAGGCAACAGAGCTGGGTTTTCTGCAGGTTATTTGCCAGTGTGTGCAGGAGGGAATGAAGGGGAAAGCAACCGGAGCATGAGTCCATAGGTCCCTTTCGTAAAATGATCCCTAGTTTCAAAGGCAAATCTCCACCCAGGTAGAACAGAGCCTTCTCCAGCATAATGCATCCTTCTCTTTCATGTGTCTTTCAGAACTGGTTAAAGTCATATGGCTATCTGCTTCCCTATGACTCACGGGCACCCGCGCTGCACTCAGGGAAGGTCTTACAGTCAGCAGTCTCCACTATGCAGCAGTTTTATGGGATCCCAGTCACCGGTGTGTTGGATCAGACAACAATCGAGTAAGATTCGTGTAGGGCACTGGGCCTTTGAACTTTCCAGACATAAATTTGAGTTCACATTTGTCATGGCCCCATGTATAAACCATGCCCATCCTGTCTTCCTATCTTTCACTCCTGTAGTATCATCCGGGGAGGGAATACTCCACGGTGCCCCTTCCTATGTGAGCTGGGGAGGTGCTCTGCCCTAAATTTGCTATGTGATCTTGAACAAGTGTTGTAACCCTGCTGGACCTCAGTTTCCTTTTCAGCATAATAAGAGGTTTAGTTGGAGGTGACCTTAAATCTCCTCTAACTCTAATTACTTTTGGCTCTATGAATCACCCTACTGGCATTCCCTGAGATGTACACATCTCACCTGATACAAAGAGCTGGAAGCTCTCATTCCACTTTTTCCATTTATTAAATATTTGCTAAATGCCTACATGTGCCAGGCACTGGACTGGATCCTACAATCTCTGCCCTCCAGAGGCTCACCACATCGTGAAAAGTACAATCATCTGGCTTCACCAGTCTATAACTCAGGAGGAAACACTAGCTTTCAGGGAGATACGTAGGAAGTACTAACAAATGAGCCAGACCATGGGAACGATCACATTTACTCAGGTCGAGAGCACCAAGAGGAGGAAGGGATGGGTGCCGAGAAAGTAATCCTCATGATGCAAGCTGAAGAGGAGTGGCCAGAGCAGTGGAGGAAGCCAGGGGCTATGTGTCATGCTAGAGAAGGGGGAATGGTCAGTGGGCCGGCTGCTGCAGTGTGGTCACTCAGGAGATCCAAAGGTGTCAGCTGAGTTTAGCAGCCAGGAGGCCTTGCAGGGTCAGACTGCAGTGGGCAGAAGGGGAGATGACGAGTAGAGACAGCAAGTGTAGGCAAGACTTTCTTGCCTATCACTGTAGGCAAGAAGCCTATCAGTGAAGGAGGAATAGAGGGTGGCTGGAGGTGGATGAATTTTTGTTTGTCTGAAGATCAGAGAGTTAAGCATCTTCACATTTGTTTAGGAAATAGCCAGAAAAGTCATTAAAGCACTGCAAGGAAAGCCATTCCCTCACTGCCGCATTGAGGGCATGGCAGAGCGGCTGAGGATTGGGTGAGTGGGGAGCTTCCCAAGGAGGCGGTAAGGGGTGGGGTCCTGAGCAGAGATGGAAGCAGGGAGCAGGGCCCCATGAGGGGGTGCAGGTGGGGAACAGAGAATCCAGCTGATTGTGGATCCAGGATCAATCCTTCCCCCCACCCCCGGAGGGTGAGTCACTCACTCCTTGACAGATTCATCTCTCTGGGTCCCAGCTTGTTCACTTACAGAGGGGAGTGTTAGATTATGACTCTCAAATTCTAGATCCCATTATTCTAAGCTGTTAACATTTGGTGAGTCCAGGGTTTTACGATCCTGTGATTCTGTATGAACATTTTCTATTCCTCGGGTTCTCTGACTGTGAGATCATGAACTTCTGAGACAATATGTTTGACTGCTGCTATGGTATCGTGAGGACAGTGGAAGCCTTGGCCCTGAGGCCTCGTGTGGCCTCGTGAGTGAGCTGGTTGAAGAGAGCCCAGCCGCCTTTCAAAGCGGAGGTTATTTTGAGGGTTTTGTGCAGGCCTCACGGCAGTGCATCCTGGAGCAGGAGCACTGGTGTCTCTGCTGAGGCACCACCTGGCCTTGGGTTTTACTCTGTTCCAGAAAGCCCCAGGCCTGTTGGACAGGGTTCAGAGAGTGGCAGGTGGACAGAATGATCTGAGGGAGGAGGATGGCATTTCCCACTTGCAGTTCTGCCCCCACTTTTTTGTAGGAATGTGGGGGGTGCGGTGGGAATGCTGTTTGGGAGGCATGAGAGGGGAGAAGGCGCTCACACTTAGTCCCAGACCTGAGTGGGGAGGCTGTTTGGGGGTAGAGTTTAGAGACCTTAGTTTCCCTTCCAGCCCTGTGACCTTGGGCAGTCACTGCCTTTCTCTGGGCCTCTTTCCTCCCTGGAGGCCCTTCCAGGTCTAGCTCAGCCTCGCTGTAGCAGAGGTGGCTCTTGGTTATTCCCCAGGACTGTCAGTGAAAGAAAGTGAGATTAGTGATTTAAATTTTTGAGTGCCTACCTTGGGAAATGTCATACATTGTTCACTTACTCATTTATTCCTTCATTCAACAAATCCTCTAACCCAAACTTGTGCTCAGCACAAGAAGAAAAAAGCCCCGGCTTTTGTTTGTTTTTGTTTGTTAAATTGCATTCATTACTAGTCCATTTATTCATTCAACTAAGTTCCAGTCCTTCCTCACAGCTATATTTTGCAAGTTACTTGATTTATCTGTGTGCCTTTTCCCTCACCTGCAAAAAGGAAGATAAACAGTTTCTGGCTACCTCACAGAGTTGTTTCAAGAATCAAAAAATTTCTTTAAGAGAACACAGACACCATAAAAATTAGAAATGTTCATACAAATAACATTATGTCTTTCATTATTCATTTCTGAGTACAGACACTCGAGGCAATATGAAGCACTGCAAAGAAGAGTAAGACCTGGTTAAGGCCTCAGGGGACTTTTTAAAAATATTTGGTTAAAATAGTCTGTGGCTCCTTATTGCTATACTGCCAAACAAGTACTTTTGACAACCGTACACGAGGTAGACTATTTTCCCTTCCAGCAATTTCAGGCTATAATTGGTCACTGGATCAGTATAGGGACATAAAATGCAAGGATGGCCTGGGCCCCAATAAGCCATGATCTTTTAAAAATCTCCTACCCTGGCCTTTTTTTCTTTCTTTTTTTTTTATGACGTCCCAGGCTTACTATTCCCTAAGTGTAACTTAACCTGACAACAAACAGTTATCAGGATTTACTTCATTCCAGGTACTGGACAGCTTCTGGGGACACAATGATGAATATGATAGCATTCCAGTCCTCAGAGAATTTGCCATTTATTAGAGGTAATGGACTAATAGATTTAAAATCACAATACAGCATACTAAATGCTGCAGAGAATTCTAAGTCTTGCAGTCCTACGATTCTACACTTTTTGGACATCTATAGCGAAAGGGAATTTGCTGTTTTACAAGCTATGCCATTCTACTTCTGGGTAGTTCTGATTCATTCATTCACTCATCCATCCCTTCATCCATCCATCCATCCATCCATTCATTCAACAAATCATTATCGAACATCTTCTGTGTTAGCCACTGTCATGGAATTTAGAATCTGCTAAGAGAGACAAAGACTAAACAAAAAAGCTAATATATGATATAATTTCAGGCAAGACTAATGCTATGAAGAAAAATGAAGCAGGATAAGATGATAGCGGCAGGTGGGAGGTGGAAGCTATTTCAGATAGGGTGGGCAGGGAAGTCCTCATGAAAGGGGTAACATTTGAGCAGAGACCTTAATGAAGAGCAAACCACATGTAGAAGAAGAGCATTGCAAAGCAGGGGGAACAAAGGCCCTGAAGTAGGAATAATCTTAGCATGAGCAAGACAGTACAAAGGCCACTGTGGCTGGAGCAGATTCTGAGAGGGAAGGAAGGGGAAGATGTCATGTCATCCGATGTGTAGACAGGGACTTGATCACGTGGGTCCTTGTGGGCCAACATGAGGAGTTTGGATTTTATTCTAAATGTTTGGGGAAATCACTGGAGGGTTTTAAACCAGGGAGTGATGTGATATAATTCCACTTACAGAATATTTCCACATATAACCCCTCCTTTGACGCTCTCTAAAACCTAAGAATAGTGAGAGCTGTGATTCTCATGTGGCAGATGAGGAAACTGAGGTTCACAATGATCGTTTGCTTGGGTTCCTATGATTAGTGGTGGAGCTAGAGCCATCAAGCCTATGTCTCTGACCCCAGGCTCTAATGCAGCTCCATGTCTACATAATCAATTGTGAGTGAATGAATTAAGTAATCAGTCTGTTATGTTCCTGTGGGGGAACCCCTCAGAGCCAGGGCCCTAGGGTCTAGCATCAGGATGCACACTGCCATTTAGACTGGGACTGGGGACTCTGCAATGCCTTCCTAGAGTATTGTGACCACAGCGTGTGTGTGTGTGTGTGTGTGTGTGTGTGTGTATGTGTGTATCCTCTCTCTGCCCCAGGTGGATGAAGAAGCCCCGCTGTGGTGTCCCTGATCACCCCCACTTAAGCCGTAGGCGGAGGAACAAGCGCTATGCCCTGACTGGACAGAAGTGGAGACAAAAACACATCACCTACAGGTGCTTTGACTCCTTCCCCTCTTCCGTGGCTTTGGCTCCACCCACACTCAGTTTTGGCCTGAGTTTCAGAGGCTCATACTGTAGGTGGGTCTGTGATCAGGGTGAGAGCCAGGTATGTGGGCATCAAGACCAGGTGACAAAAGCCTATTACTTTGTCCTCCTTGTGACTTCCAAAGGAGTCTGTGTCTCCAACTTCAGGTTTTTTGGTCCTTTGGGGGCTCATTAGCCGTGTCCTGTTTAGATTCCTACAGTTTTGAGAAAGTAGGGTAGGGATTGTTCAACAACTCTCAGCTGTGATAAAGAACTGTGGCTTGCCAAACCCTACTTCCTTTTATCTGGGTCCCTTCTCCACTTAGCCTGACAGCCCAAAGTTCCCAGCAGAGTTCCAGTTGTTTCCTAAGGATTATACAGAACTGGGAACGGAATCATAGCAGTGCCACTCCTGAACTGTCTGGGGAAACAAAGGGCAGAGGAGGATCAGCCTCCAAGTCAGACCAGTGACCAAAGACAGGGATGATGGAGCCCATCACAGCAGACTCAGATGGCAGAATTCAGAGTGGGGCTGCGGCAAAAGCCAGGCATAGAGCAGGCTCAGCTGGGCTCTGGGTGGCACCTTTCAAGGCTCTGATTCTATCTCAGGTGGATAGAACCCTGGGTTCAGAGGTAGGACCTAAGACAGAAATCCTTAAAGATGAAGAATGAAGGGCTCCCCTGCTGATGAGCTATAGAGATCAGAACAGGCTTTTGCCAGAAATCTGACAAGAGAAGGAAAAGTTAAGAAGAATCTGGGTTAGAAACTAGATAAAGCTTAAGCTCCCCTGAAGTGGTAGAATGAATCAAGAGAAAGAAGAAGAGGCTTCTAACCTTAACTTCTATCACTCAACCTCTCTGGCCTGTTTCCTTAACCTGTAGAATGGGTGAATAATCCTTGCCCAGGTGCTCATGGGGCAGAGCACCCAGGAGTAGTGATGTTCTGCTATGGAGAACCATTCACTAACCTTCAATAGCCAAATCTATAACTAATGGAATCAGATACCACCCTGTACCAATTTCCTAGGTAGACAAGCAGTAGCCTGTACAAGCAGAAGACAAGTAGTTGGTGCCAAATATTTTTAAAAGGGATGTTTCATTTAAACCTGCCACTGCTTCAGGATTTCTATGACTTTTATAAATATTTTATAAACACATTTTGTGTATTGGGAGAAAAACTTAAAATTTAGAAAATGCTATCCACCAACTTAATTTTTTTCTGCACACTCGAGTGGAGTTCTGTTTTCAACACAAACTTCGTGAGAGCTCAGATATGGAGCATTGATTACAACAAAGCTGCTCTGACTGAGGCCAAGGGTGGGGACCCAGAGCCTTGCCTACCTAGCCTTTTCTTCAACTCCTGGGGTGCCTCGGCAGAATTCTAGGGTTCAGAATTTGAAGATTACTGGTCCCTGTGGTCTCTGGTGTCCCTTTTAGCTCTGCAAACCTCTGACTCTGACTGTTCCTCCCTAATGATCTTCTCTTCTCTTACCAGCATTCACAACTACACCCCGAAGGTGGGGGAGCTAGACACACGGAAAGCGATTCGCCAGGCTTTCGATGTGTGGCAAAAGGTGACCCCACTGACCTTTGAAGAGGTGCCATATCATGAGATCAAGAGTGACCGGAAGGAGGCAGACATCATGATCTTCTTTGCTTCTGGTTTCCATGGTGACAGCTCTCCATTTGATGGAGAAGGGGGATTCCTGGCCCATGCCTACTTTCCTGGCCCAGGGATTGGAGGAGACACTCACTTTGACTCAGATGAGCCGTGGACACTAGGAAATGCCAACCATGATGGTAAGACCATGAGGGGAATGTGGGTCAGTCCTGGATTGTCAGGGAAAGAAGCCCTGAGGAAGAGCTTGGGATGTGATAGATGAGTTTCCTGCCCTGTAGCTTCATGTCCAAGGACTAAGAACCTAAGAGGGTGGGAACTGAGGTCTCTGATCCCTCAGGGCCAGGGCCCCTGAGTTGAGTCAGATCACTTAGTAAATGGTCTAAGGGGGCTGAGTCAAGAGGGAGGGGTTAGACCATGAACAGGAAGACAAAGTAATGGATCAGAGGCTAGAGAAAAAGGTAAAAAAGTCATTAAAGCTGAAAGTGGGGTCTGAAAGAGGTAGGCTCTGGCCTGATAATGGCTTCAAAGGCCATCTTAAGAAATAATATTACTCTCTCTCCCTTATATCAGCCTCAGATGTGAATAACAGGCCCCATAATTATCTATCATCCTTGGATAACTTGCTCTTCACCACTGTGACTCAATGAATATTATACAGAACCAGAGTCAATATTGTACAGTAATAGTAACAATACTTTTCAGGTTGCAAAAGCCTTAGCAGTATTTACTCCTAAAGCACTTGCACTTGCTTTGTGCTTTAGGAGGGGCGGGGGTGGGGGGTGAACAGAGAATCTTAAGCAGGATCTGTGCTGACAGCAGAGAGCCCAACGCGGAGCTTGAACCCACAAACCATGGCTTGAACCCACATGAGCCAAAGTCGGACACTCAACCAACTGAGCCACCCAGGTGCCCCTCATCATGTCCATTTTTAAAATGAAGGGCTTGGGGCTCAAATGGCATAGCTAGCTGGTAGTGGGCAGCACTAGGGCTCAAACCACTGCTCAACAACCTGGCTATGTGACTCGGGGCAAATGATTCACCCTCAGTCTCCTCATATAAAAAATGAGGGACTGGACTAGGTGATCTCTAAGCTCCTTTCCAACTCTAGTGTAACATGTTACACAGCCTGGACCGGGGAGGGGACCTCCAAACATTAAAAAAAAAAAAAAGACACGATCTCTGCCCTGTGGTAGTCCATAGTTGAGTGGGGGAGACAGTGCGTACATAAGTAACCCTGTCACAAAGCAGACTATACTGAAGCTTGTAGCAGAAATACTAAGAAAATGCAGAGATGAGTCTGGAGGAGAACAGGATAGAGGATTCTGGCTTTTAGATGAGAACAGATAATGATTAGCTTGTTGATATTCTAGGGTCCATGTCAAGTGCTTTCCACATACTATGTAGTATGTATTTATTATTATGATCTCCATTTTACAGATAGGTAAACTGAGGCATGTAGAAACATTAACTAGTCTACCTATAGTCCCATAGTTGGTGAATGGTGAAGGAAGACTTTGAACCTGGACATTATGACTCCGGAACACATACTCTTTTTTTTTTTAAAGTAACTTTTACATCCAATGTGGGGCTCAAACTCACAATCCTAAGATCAAGAGTTGCATGCTCTACTGACTGAGCCAGCCGGATGCCCCTGAAGCACACATACTCTTAGCTAGCAAGCTAAACTTTCATGGTTCTCAAATTGCAGGGCATACCAGAATCACCCAGAAATCTTTTTAGGGGTGCCTGGGTGGCTCAGTCAGTTAAGCATCTGACTTTGGCTCAGGTCATGATCTCACGATTTGTGAATTCAAGCCCTACATTGGGCTCTGTGCTGACAGCTCAGAGCCTAGAGTCTGCTTCAGATTCTGTGCCCGCCCCCCACCCCCCCCAGCTCCTCTCTCTCTCTCTCTCTCTCTCAAATGAATAAACATTAAAAAAAAATTTTTTTTAATAAATCTTTTTAAAAATGCACATCCCAGGTTAGGGCCCCTAACCTCTTGCTTTTCTGAATCTCTGATTCTGGAGTCAGGCCTGGGAATCTGTGCTTGGTGTAATACATTCTACAGGCACTTCTGATATAGAGGCTCCATTCCCCTTGAGAAATACTGCCTTTATCCTCAGAGTTTCCCTAACTTGCCTGATCATAAGAATCACCTGGGTTTCTTGTTATAAACAGATTCCAAGGCCCTGACCCTGGACATTCTGATTCTTAAGCATAGGGAAGTTTGGGAAACATAGGGCATTCTTTTTCTTAGGCTATGCTCCAGGCTGAGAGCAGACTCTTACAGGCCCATCTACTCAGAGGCTGAGTCTGGTGTCTTTGGATGGGGACAGCCTCCTTGAAAACATTTCATATCATTGCATGAACAAATCAGGGATCGGCAACCCTTGGCTCATTTGTGAAAGGATGGTTTGGTCAAGGCTCAGCCTCTGCAAAGATACAAAACTGTCACATTTCTCTTTGTTGGTTGAAGAGGTCACATTGCCCTCTTCAAATGTTGGTCCTCTTTCCTATCCATCTCCATTTCCTCTGCCCTGGTATCCCTTTCCTTATGTCCTGGATGTGCTTCCTGGCTTTCTGAACACCTATTCTCTCTCCCATGCTTATTCTTGAATCGGTGTCAACAAATGGCGGGCTGTGCTGATAAAGTGCAAGGAAAAGAAACTAACATTTTTGAGCCCTGTTACATGCCAGGTACTGTTAGCTGACAAGATTTTAGTTATAGCCCTGATAGAGATAAATGAATTCTTAAAGGGTTGTTGGCCAGAGGAAGCACTGGAAAGATACTCTTAACAACACTGCCCTCCCCTTCCCGGCTCTGAGGTGTGTACTGCCCAAAAGCGCTCCTTGCTCGTGGAGACCTGGGGCCCAGTCTCAAAGTCCCAAGAACTGGGAGTGTGTGTGGGAAGGAGCTGGGACCTGTGGATGGGCACAATCCCACAATCCTCCTGTCTGTCCCACCCTATCCTGATGAACACCTGCCAATTCTGATAGAGAGTCCAAGATGGCCAATGTCTTCTTTGGACAAGAGTCAGGATTTTTCTGTGCTCTGGAAAGCCAAGCATGAACCATTTGGATGAAATTCCTAACTGTGGCAACAGACCTCTGATGCAGCAGGTTGCCCTAGGACAGTTTCTGGAAGGAGATGAAAGGAACCAAGATTTATGGAGCACCTGTATATTATCTCGTTTAATTTCCACATAAATTCAACAAGGGAGTGAAATAGAGCCTCCTGGGAACTTTGTGTTTATTGGTTTTCTTCTAAATTTCCATTATGGAAAACTTCAAACTCACAAAAGAAGAGAGAATGATAATATGAACCCTCAGGCAACTGTCCCCTTGCTTCAGCAATTACCAAAATGATGTCATTGCTATTTCATCTACTCTCCCCCTGCCACTTCTATTTTTTGATGTATTTTAAAGAAAATCCTTGGCACAATATCACTTCATCTGTAAGCTGTTTAGGACATAGCCCTAACAGATTATTTTTTTTCTTCCAAATTTTTATTTAAATTCTAGTTAGTTAACATACAGTGTAATATTGGTTTCAGAAGTAGAATTCAGTGATTGATCACTTACATACAACACCCAGTGCTCATCACAAGTGTCCTGCTTAATACCATCATCTATCTAGCCCATCCCCCAACCACCTCCTTCCATCAACTCTTAGTTTGTTCTCTCTCATTAAAAGTCTCTTATGGTTTGCTTTTCTCTTTCTCTCTTTTTTCCCTTCCCATATGTTCATCTGTTTTGTTTCCTAAATTACGCCTATGAGTGAAAACATATGGTATTTGTCTTTCTCTGACTATTTCACTTAGCATAATATACTCTAGCTCCATCCATTGTTGCAAATGGCAAGATTTCATTCTTTTTGATAGCTGAGTAATATTCCACTATGTATATAGACCACATCTTTATCCATTCTTCAGTGGATGGACACTTAGGCTCTTTCCATAGTTTGATATTATTGATAGTGCTGCTATAAACATTGGGGTGCCTGTACCCCTTCAAATCTTCTAACAGATTATTTTCTTTTAAAAATTGTTTTATTTTTTTATATTTTAGAGAGACAGAGAGCATGAGCAGGGGAGAGGGGCAGAGAGAGAGAGAGAGATCGAGAATCTTAAGCAGGCTCCATGCTCAGTGAGGAGCCTGACACAGGGTTTGATCCCACAACCTGGGATCATGACTTAAGCCAAAATCAAGAGTTAGACACTCAACTGACTGAGTCATCAAGGCACCCCAAATGGATGACTTTTAACACAACCACAAAACCATTATCAAGCCCAAAATTAACAATAATTTCTTAAAATCCAATTCCCATTTAATTTCCCAAAATTACCTCAAAAATATCCTTTATAGCTGTTTGCTTGCATCAGGATCCAGACAATATCCACACATCATGCATGGTTGACATGTTTCTTAAGCCGTTTTCACTTACAACAGTCAACGTGCTTCCCCACCCCCAACCCTGCTAATATTTGTTGAAAAAACCATCACTTGTCCAGAGTACACTCATTTGGCTCGATGAGATTCAGATTCACATTTAACATGTCTCCCTTCCTCATATATCCTGAATGTTGGTAACTAGTCCCATAGACCTGACTAAATTCACATTTTGGTAAGAGCTTCCAAAGTGGTAGCGTCCTTCGTACTGCATCACAGTAGAAAGCACATATGATGCAGGCAGTCCCACCATCAGTGGTGCAAAGGGTGAGCGCTTGGTTCAGGTGTGTCAGCCTGAGCCAATCACTATAAAATTCGCTCGAGGGAACTTAATTAAAAAAAAAAATGTTGCCCAAGTCCTAACCCAAAACTCCTGAATCAGAAGCTCCTTCACCTGTGTGTTAAAAGGCTCTCCTGGAGAACCACTGGATTATAAGGGTGTAAGGGTGATCTTGATTCTCCACATCACTGGAGTCTGTGTGAAGGGCAATCTGGCCCATCGTACCTTCCAGCAGGTTTCAGGGGCTGCTTCCAGGCACCTTTTGTCCTCATCTCTTTTCAATGAGTCCAACAGTGATGTCTGAGTTCACTAAGCTCTGATTGGAAGGGAGGCCAGCCCTGGGAAAAGTAACAAGACAAGAAGAGTCATTGAGACCAGCCCTTCACAGAGTCCTTCGGCAATCACTTCCATGACTCTCCCCCAACCCTGGGAGCTAGACCAGGCAGGGATCATAATATCCCTTTAACGGACAAGGAAAGTAAAGTTCCATGTGGTTATAAAAGCTCACATAGTGGGGGCACCTGGGTGGCTCAGTCGGTTGAGCATCTGACTTCGGCTCAGGTCACGATATCATGGTTTGTGAGTTCAAGCCCCGCATTGGGCTCTGTGCTGACATCTTGGAGACTGGAGCCTGCTACAGATTCTGTGTCTCCCTCGCTCCCTGCCTCTCCCCTTCCTTCTCTCAAAAATAAATAAACATTTAAAATTTTAAAAAAACCTCACATAGTAAGTGGCAGAGCCAGGTCTGCACCCAGGACTCTGAATTTTTAGTAATCGCCCCAGGTGGTTCTGCTACAGGTGGTCCAAGAACCACACCAGGAAAAATACGGAATGTCTGGCACTGCTCCATCCCGGCTGCTGTCAGCTAGCCCTGCCAAGCACAAAGCTTGCTCTTGAGGAGCTCACACTCCTGGAGCAGAAGCAAGTGTGTGCTAGTGGCTGTAACATGGTGGAAAGTGATCAGTGCCATAAAGATGGGTCAGATATGGGGCACCTGGGTGGCTCAGTCGGTTAAGTGTCTGACTTCAGCTCAGGTCATGATCTCACGGTTCGTGGGTTCGAGCCCCGCGTTGGGCTCTGTGCTGACAGCTAGCTTAGATCTGGAGCCTGCTTCAGATTCTATATCTCCCTCTCTCTCTGACCCTCCCCTGCTCACGCTGTCTCTCTCTCAGAAATAAATAAAACATTATAAAAAAATGGGTCAGATAAACTGCTGGGAGAGTAAAGGAGTAAGTACTCACTACCAGTGGGGGAAATCAAGGAAGTCTTCCCGGAAAATGTGGCATTGAGCTGAACTTTGAAGGAGGAAAGCTATTCTAGGTAGAGGGGACAGCACTGGCAAAAGAATAGAGGCCAAAGGAAATGGTATAGCCTTTTGGGGGGCTGGAGGGCTTGATGAGATGGGACTGACCAAAAATGGAGGTTCCAAGGGAAGGAAATGAAGCAGAGAGAGCTGAGTGAGGCCTTGCTAGGAGGCCCTGGGACTTGAGCTCCCAGCCCATGGGAACACTCCCTTTTGGGGCTGCTGGCCCTCACACATAGGTCAATGTGACCCTGCTAATTAAAGTGATCTGTAGTTCTGTGTCGGGAGGTGGTGTGAGCGCTTCGCATACCTTGCCTCATTAACTTCACCCCCGTTCTTAGGATGCAGGTACTGTTATTCCTGCATTTTATAGAAGAGATTTAAAATGTCACACTGCTGCAGCATTGCAGAGCTGGGATTCATGTCAGTCTGGCTCCCTGAGACCACACTTCTCACTACTCTGCTTCCTTGTTTCTCACCCTCTTGGAGACTGAAGGCCCTAATAGCCTCCTGCCCATTAAGCACTGGGATCTCCTCCATCCTTCTGCCTTTCCCCTCCTTCCATCTCCCCAGAGCAGCCCCCACTTAGCAGGTCTCTTGGGCTTCTGTGCAATAGGATGGCAGTTCCCCAGCTCTTTTCTGCTTTTTGGTCCCTGGAATAAACCCACAGCCCCCTTTCCTTCAAGGCCTTCCTCCTATTCTGTGCCGAGACCCAGGCACAGAGGCTACAGAGTAACAGACACAGGCTGAGGACAAAGGTTTAGAGTCTTGCCAAGTGCTCAGAGCCCTGCTCCCCGGTTCCCAACGGAGATCCCTGTGGATGCCCCCTGAGGGAGGGCCTGGTCAGGAGACAAGAGGTCTGAACAGCTTGTCCCAGGTGGAAAACCAGGCCAGGAGGCAGAGCCAGGCAGGACCAGCCCCCAGGAAGCGGAGCTGCCTTCCGCTGGCTGTAGCAGCCGCCTTTGTTTGGGATGGAGCTGAGAGATGAGCTCACCCTTCCCCGCTGCCAGAGGAACCAGGACCCGAGGAAGGAACTGGGGGCGGCCTGGCCTCCTCCTGCCAGCTTGCCCTTCCCCAGCAGAAGGCCAGCCCCAGGCTCTTGGCCAACCTTGCACTCATCTTGCCCATCTCCACTTCGCCAAAGACACCGGTGGTGTCAGCGGAGCGGCAGGCATGCTTGCGTTGGGGTCTGCCCCATAAGGCTCTTCTCTCTTCCAAAACCTTAGCCAAAAGGGCCAGAGACAATCCTCAGTCCCATCTGACCCTCACAGGTCACTCAACTTGGCTGAGCTGGGCAACTTTGCCAGAGACACGGGAGCCAAAATAGACACTAGGACTCCTGACCACCTCCCAGGTCCCTGGCAACCTCCCCTCACTTGGAGGTGACAGGGATGAGCTGTAACATGCCTTAGGGCAGGGCAACGAGAGGCAGAGCTCAAATGCCAAAGGTCAAAGCAAGCAAGAGTTTTCAACTGGACAGAGGTCAGGACTGTCAGTATGACAGCCTGCCCAATTCCCTGTCCCTTGTGTTTCTTTCCCAAAGCTGGGGTTACTTAATCACTCCAAAGTCCCAGGCCCGATCCAGGGGCTCAGAGGAGTTGGCTTAAGAAAATCTGGTAGCTGGAACCCCACTGGCCTTATGCTTCCTTTCTGGTCAATGGGCATGTTCCAGGTACTAAGCTTCCATCTGATGTCTGGTAACAATAGCTACTGTGCATTGCCATGCCCCTCACACATATTACCTCATCCAATCCTCACACAACCCTATGAAGTAGGTAGGATCTCCCTATTTTACAAGGGAAGATATTGAGGACCAGAGGGTAGACCTTCTGACCAAGTTCACAAAGCCGGTGGGGGCAGAGCTGGAAACAAAGGAGGTCTATGTGGCTCAGGGGCCCCCGCTCATAACCATTGTGCCATGTTGTTGCTGCCTCAGCTTCGTGCTCAGGATCCCGTGTCCCACTTTCGGTTCCTGGACTTTGTTGTTTTCACTCACATTTGAGTCCCTGCCTTGATTTTGGCCGAGGTTCAGTTCTTTCAGAACTAAGGTCTTGTCGGACTGAGAGCTGCCTCACGATCACGGCCCTGCCTGCCCCTGGGTCTCCTGATGCTGAATGTGAGCCTGCCACCCCCAGACCTCCCCTCTGCTTGTCCCACTCCCTGCCCTGATGTTGCCCTTTCATCTCTCACCCGGATCCTTCTACCCAAAAGCTCGTGGAAGCCCTGCCTCTTGTCTCCTTCCCCTCTCAGGCCTCCTCAGTGCAGAGCAGCCAGAGATTTTCATCATGTCGCCACCCCCACTCCTGCCCTAAACCCCCCACCGGCCAAGAAGCCAATCCAAATTCCTTTGCATGGCATCACAGAGCCCCACTTCCCAGCCTGGCTGACCTCATCTCTCTCTGCCCTCCCCTCCTGCTTTGTTCCAGAGCCAAGTGGAACGAGCCTGCTTGTCCCTGGATCTTGTTTAGAGCGTTCCCTCTGTCAGGAATGCCACCCCCACCCCTCCATCTCTTACCCTCTGAATCCGTTCTCCTGACTAACTTCTTATCTTTCAAGACTCAGGTAAACTTAATCTTTATGACACTTTCCCTGCACATCTCCTTTCAAGTTTAAATCACTCCTCCATTCTCAGAATCCTTACTCCACCCTTACAGACCTCTGTTAAAGCACCTGGAACATTAATCTTGCTTATTTTGTTTCTCTCTCCAAATCCCCCACTATATTGAGAGTTCCAAAAGGCAGGACTGTGTATGATTTCTCCGGCACAGGGCCTGGCACAAAGCCTATGCTCAGTGTTAGGTGAAGCAATGGGTTGATTGATACCTAAGTGGGTGCCCTGGGCACCTCCCCACTCCCCTCTCCACAGGGAATGACCTCTTCCTGGTGGCTGTGCACGAGCTGGGCCATGCGCTAGGACTGGAGCACTCCAACGACCCCAGCGCCATCATGGCACCCTTCTACCAGTACATGGAGACACACAACTTCAAACTGCCTCAGGATGATCTCCAGGGCATCCAGAAGATCTACGGTGTGTGGCAGGGGAGAGGGGGCTGCTGCTCCTTCTTAAGGGCTGGGCTGTGACTACCTGCCTGAGCAGGTTGTTTTCTTAAGCAAGAAAAAAGAAGAGGCTATGCTGATATTTTGATAAGATATAAAAGGCCTGCTACCACGCCTCCCTCCCAGTTTTCTATTCACACTGGTAATGCAAAGGTCTTGTTTTGGTCAAGTCAGTTGAGATGGGAAGACCAGTTTTCTTGAGCAAATGCCTGTCAGCATAACACAGGCTGCCTCTGCCCCCAGGCTATGAAGCACCGAAGGAGGGCTCCTTCTGGAGGCCCTGATGACCTCAGAGAGCAGATGGCCCCAACCAGAACCCTGGAGGATGGGCAGGATCTCTATAAGTGAAGCAGTGGAGGACTGGACAGGGGAGGTTGGGACCGGAGGTGATTGAAAGTAGAATGGACAGGATTTGCCGACAGATCCAACATGGGGGTGAGGGTCAAGGATAACACCAAGATTTCTGGCTTCTCTAGTGGTAAGGCAATAGGATTTACCAGTCTGTTGCTCAGAGATATGGGCTGGGATATTGATTTGGAATCTTTGGTGTCCAATCTATAGCCACTGGCTACATGTCACTATTGAAATTTGAATTTATATTAATTAGAATTAAATAAAATTAAAATTTCAGTTCCTCTGTCACACTAATGACTAGTCACTCATTTCAAGTGCTCAATAGCCACAAATGGCTGGAGGCTACCGTATTGGACAGTGCTGATATAGAATATTTCTGTCATCACAAAACATCCTATTGGACAGCTCCAACATAGAGGGTCTTTAAAGCCATGAACATGGGCACCTCCCCATTCCCTTCTCCACAGGAAATAGAGATCACTTAAGGTAGTGACCCATAACTAGGGGACTCATTGGAATTACCTTGGAATTTCCATTTAAAAAATGGCCTCATTCTCAGAGATTGGGTTCTCTTTGGTGTGAGGTGTCTTCTGAACATCAAGAGTTTTAAAAGCTCTCCCAGTGATCCTAATATGCAACCCAAGGGAGAAAACTGACATAGGGACAAAAATAGGGAGAAGACCCAGGAGCACTCCAACCTTTAGGATAGGGTGGGTGAGGAAAGGCTGCCAGCAAAGGAAGTGGAGAACAGCCCATGAAGTAGAAGGAAAAACAAGACAGTACAGGGCGCTGGAAAAGTGCTCCTATGATCTTGCTACTCAAAGTGTGGGCCTCAGACCAGCAACACTGGCATCACCTAAGAGCCTGAAGAAATGCAGAATTGCAAGCCCCACCTCAGACCCTCTGAGTCATAATCTGCATTTTATCAGGGTCCCTGGATCTTGGTATGCACATCAAAGTTTGAGTCGGTAACCCCGGGGTTTGGCAACATGAAGGTTATTGGAGATCATGACAGAGCGGCTTCAGTAGGTGACAGGGCAGAGGCTCTCCTGGAGTGGGATACAGAATGAAGGGGAGAGAATGAGGCTGGCATGTGTAGAGGGAGCAGAGAACAATGGTGTGGGACACTGAGCCTAAGAAAGGACATGTTGTCTCTTATAATGGGAGAGAAGAGAAGATCTCAGATTCGGGGATGGAAAGATATGAGTTCCCATTTAATGGCTATTTTCATCTGTTTTCTCAAATATTGGGGAGTAACAAATGGGAGAGGGAACAGGAGGCTGGAGGGTAACCGACCTCAGCTGCCAGGGTAATGATGAAGCAATGGCAGCGGGAGGCAGGGAATGGGTGGCCCTGTCTAAGATGCAGCCTCTCTCTGCAGGACCCCCAGCCGAGCCCCTGGAGCCCACCAGACCCCTCCCCACGCTCCCTGTCCGCAGGATCCATTCACCAAGTGAGAGGAAGCATGAGCGCCAACCCAGGCCACCGCGGCCGCCCCTCGGGGACCGACCGTCCACACCTGGTGCCAAACCCAACATCTGTGATGGCAACTTCAACACAGTGGCACTCTTCCGAGGCGAGATGTTTGTGTTTAAGGTAGGGCCAGTCAACTGGTAACACCCAGATGGTTCTCTCCCACTCGCTCCCCCTCTGTAGAGCAGAAGCCTGCTGCTCTGGGATTTAGGCCCACTTTGGGCCTGGACAGGAGTTGGCCCGGCGGCCAGGACACGGGGTCCCTTTCTGGTGCTGCTGGGTGAACTGACTTGTTTCTAAGAGGGAGGTGAGTAGACTGGTGATCTTATACCTTCCCAGGGGTTAATGCTGAGGGGAAGTGCTGGAGACCCGCTTCTGGTCAGTGACTTCGGGCAAGTCATCTCCCTTCCCTGGACCTCAGTTTCTCCATCTGAAAGCTGGGTCATTCCCTTAAGGAAGGTGTATGAAGACCAAATGAGTGTATGGCCATGAAGATAGCAGCTTGGAGTAGGGGCTGACACAGCGCTGGTAGAGCCTGTCTCCAGATCCTGCCAGGGCTGAGAGGCCAGTACTGAGGGGTGCCTGATAGAAAGCTGGCCAGGCTACATCTCGTCACTGTCCTATTCCTGTCACATTAGCCACAGGCTCACTGAGTGGCAGCACATCGGGTTGGGGTGTTACAGGTTGGGTTCCCAGGGAAGTGGACTCTGAGACAGTGTTCGGAATACAGGATTTTGATTACAAAGTACCTTTGGGATCAACATCTGTGGGAAGGAAGGAAGGAAGGAAGGAAGACTGGGCAGAAGGAGAATATAAGCAGCAACTAGGATCACTGCAGAGTCGGCCACCCCCACAGGGAGTTCCAGAGCTGGAATGGCCCATTGGAGCCATCCCACACTGGCCCCAAATAGCTGGGACCTTGTACCTCCTGCTTCATTCAGTCATTGGATGAGAAGGGGCATGACCGTGGGGGAGCTCGCTGAAGCCGAGGCCATCCCCACAGACGCCTGCAGTTTAAAACAGCCTTCTGACCACACCCTGGGCCACCAGGGCCACAAGCCCTCCACGGAAGGGGGTCTGGCCAGCGTGTCTCCATCACACTGGGTGGTTGTGTGGCACTGCCCCACTCCCCTCAGGGAGCTCTCCCAGCAAGCTTTGAGTACTGAGCAAGAATCAGGCGACATGGGTCAGTGCCAGTCCTGCCTCTCACAGAGTGTCTCTAGGAAAGCCACTGGCCTTCCTTAAGATTCTGTGTATCTTGGGATGCCTGGGTGGCTCAGTTGGTTAAGCATCCGACTTCGGCTCAGTTTTGTGGTCTTGTGGTTGATGGGTTCAAGCCCTGCATCAGGCTCCACAGCTCAGAGCCTGGAGCCTGCTTCAGATTGTGTCTCCCTCTCTCTCTCTGTCCCTCCCCCACTCATGCTCTCTCTCTCTCTCAAAAAAAAGATTCTGTATATCTCAAATCTACTTAACAGACTTATGAAAGTCAAACTAAAGTTTTAAAAACAACATGAAAGTGCTTTGTAAAACACCTTTAAAAAAACTTTTCTAGTTTTGTACCATCTTTTACAAATCACATTCTTTCTGCTGCACTGTAATCCCCCCCATTGAATGGTTCCTAGGCAAGTCTGGGTTTTATCATCCCCATTTATTAATTTTTTTTAATTTGAGAGAGAGAGAGAGAGAGAGATCGAGCATGTGAGCAGGGGAAAGGAGCAGAGGGAGAGTGAGAATCCCAAGCAGGTTCTGTGCTCAGCATGGAGTCCCATGTGGGACTTGATTCCACAACCCTGGGATCATGACTGAAGTCAAACCAAGAGTCAGATGCTCAAATGACTGAGCCATCCAGGTACCTCTTTCATCATCCCCATTTATACTGATGTCTTGGCAGGTTACAGGCCTTGTGCAGATCGCCAACCAGCCAAGGGCTACACTGGCACAAGACACTAGTTTAGTTTGAAAAAGAGGGCTTTCATCAGATTCTTGGCCCATTGAGCTGCCATTTATTTAACATCAACCATGTGCCTGTGCTGTTCTAGGTACCTTACCTATTATCTCTCCTCTGATCCCCAACATTACCCCCATTTGTAGGCAAGGCGTTTGCAGTACTGTGCCCACGGTCATGCAGCTTTAAGTGAAGGAACCTGAATTCACACCCAGGTCTTGAGGGATTCCCGTAGTTTGCTTCCCAGGGTCCTTGCCCTGCTGGATGGAGCCAAAGGGTGAGGAGAGCACTTGGCCCAGGCTCAGTGGCCAGCCTGGTGAGTGGCCCACTGATGTCAGTGACTCTCTGCTGCCCTCATGTGGCCACTACAGGCTCCTGGCACCATCCCTTCCAGCTCCTCCGCACCTAATCCCTGAACCAGGCCTGTCTGTTGTCTGTCTCATGGTCTCTTGGACAGCAAGAATCATCAGGAGGCTTATATGAAGAGTTAATGGGCATCCTGTCTTCCTCACAGGGCACTGGAAGCTAGACGCAAAAGATAGACACCACAGAGGGTTGCAAGTCTGGGCCCAGAGAAAACTTTTGGGTTACTGGGGCTTGAGCCCCAAGGCTGAAATCCTAAATTGAAGCAGGGCCTGCCGTGTTTCTTTCTCCTCCCCTTAACCCCCAGGATCGCTGGTTCTGGCGCCTGCGCAATAACCGGGTGCAAGAGGGCTACCCCATGCAGATTGAGCAGTTCTGGAAGGGCCTGCCTGCCCGCATAGATGCAGCTTACGAAAGGGCTGATGGAAGATTTGTCTTCTTCAAAGGTAATATAGCCTGTGCTAAGAGACATGGGACAGTTTCCTGCCCTTCCTAGGACCCCCTGTCCCCATCTGTATACCGGAAGAGGCGGGGTAAGAAGCAGATGGCCTCCAAGGACCCCTCTAGCCCTAACAGAGACATGACTTCTGACAAGACTAATCCCTGGAGGCAGGCAAAGCACAGTCCAGGGGAATCAAGTCATGAAGTGATTGTTGAGGGTCTGTGTGTTCCCAGGCTGGTGGGACGACTAGGCTTACCCATGTGAAGTATAAGATGGTCTAGGCATAGTGCTCCATGGAAGGCCATCCCATCAGCTCTGTAAGAGTTGGTTGGGAGGAGGTCATACAGGCTGGAGAGGTCAGGGAAGGAGCCAGGGGGAGCTAGCATGTATTTCATCCCCACCTGGGGCTAGGTTGCTTCACTGCAATTATCTTGTATGGGCCCAGCCTCAGAAGGGTAAGATACAGATAGTTAGTGAGAAGTGAGGAAAGCAGTCCAAGGGGAAGGGACAGCATGGTAATAGAGTAGTGTGGGGAAATGCATGTACATTGGAAGAGCTTAGAAGACCCACTGGACAGCCAGGGAGCCCCCCTTGGAGAGCAGTGAGCAGTGGCCTGGAAAAGAGAGTGAGGGAGAATCCGAAGGAGTCTTGGTTGCCAGGCCAGAATGCGGTCTTGACTGATTAGAGAAACACTGGAATTCACTGGGTATTTCTAAGCAGTGGAGAGCTAGAGGGCAGGCAGCAATCCAACAGGGCAAAGGAGACCATTTCTGAGTCGGTTGCTGGAGGGGAGGGGAGTGAGTCAACAAGGCCCACACCAGGGAGGACCAGTGAGGCCAGAGGGGGACAGCTGAAGGATGCAAAAGGCTTCGTGAGAGGCTGAACATGGAGAGGAGAAGGAAAGATAGGGCCAAAGGTGATGCCAGGCTTCTTGTTGGGGAACTGAGAGGCAGAAAGGTGAGGAGGGAGGGAGCGCCCTGTGGAGGTAGTGAGGAACTCCAGGAAGCAGCTCTGGAAATGCCCAATGCTGGTGTACATTGAATCAGGGTTCCTGGGTCTGGAGCTCAGGTCTGGTGGGAGTGGCTGTGAGCTCTCAGAGTTGGGTGTCACTGGTAAAAGGTGGGGAATACTAATGCGTGCAAGCCATGGGAGTGGCTGAGGACACCTGAGAGAAGAAGAGCAAGTCACGTGAATAAACAGCGGGTGGGGCATGGAGGCTGGGCAGCATGGGGCCAGTTACCCAAGATCTGTGGTGACTGACTTCTGGCTTCTTTCCCCCATGCTCTGCCAGGGCCAAGGGGCCTCAGCCTTCCAGAGAGGCCTTGTGCTGTTTCCCCTGACACCCTGGCTCTATGAATGACTTCAGTCCCAGCAGAAGATGGACAAGTGGCACTAGCCACAACCTCTAGCATTGAGTGACTGGGGAAGGCTGATCCTGGGCTTCTCTTGGCTACAGGTGACAAGTACTGGGTGTTTAAGGAGGTGACGGTGGAGCCTGGGTACCCCCACAGCCTGGGGGAGCTGGGGAGCTGTCTGCCCAGAGAAGGCATTGACACGGCCCTGCGCTGGGAACCTGTGGGCAAGACCTACTTTTTCAAAGGTGAACGGTACTGGCGCTACAGCGAGGAGCGACGGGCCACGGACCCTGGCTACCCCAAGCCCATCACTGTGTGGAAGGGCATCCCACAGGCTCCCCAAGGGGCCTTCATCAGCAAGGAAGGATGTACGTAAGGGCCTGGCTGGGTGTGGGGTGGTCTGATTTTATGTAGGTCCCAACAGGGCCCATGGGCATACTCTCAGGGTATCCAAGTTTGAGAAATGATGTCTGATGGTAAAGACAACTGCCTCACATCTACCTATGTTCACACAGTAAATTAATTCTCTTACCAGCTACCAAATCAGTTTCTCATCTGCAGAGATGACTCACATTTGAGAGATGTTTCCATAGACTGACTTCATTCCTTCAGGTAGCATTTCTCAAATAGTGGTCTTCAGATGTACTCTAGGGCTGCCTTGACTGCCTCGAGTTATATCTGAAAAGCAAGGATGGATACAGATGCTTTCAAAGGTGCTTTTTTTTTTTTTTTTTTTTTTAATAAGGCTTGAGGGCAGGAAGATGGAAAAAGAAGCCCTTTTTATTTATGAGACATTTCCAAAGCTCCTTCTGGAGGCCAGGCTGGGAGCTTCCCAGCAGATTAGAAGCTTCTCAAGAAGAGGGGTTGGGTGTTGTCAGGTGGAGAGTGGGAGGGAATCCATGAATGTTTGTTAAATACATTTCCCCTGATCTGGTCAAAAGCACAGACTCTGAAGGCTGGCTGGCTTCGCATCCCACCTCCACTGCTTACTATGAGTTTGGGCAAACCATTTAAGTTTTCTGTGTCTTCATCTATCAAACAGGGACAATAATGGTACCTACCCTCATTGGGATTTATAAGAAGATAAATTAAGTAGAGTACTTAGACCAATGCCTAGCACATGATCCATACCATGTGAGACTCAGCTACTATCGCCATCATCATCATCATCTTGTTGATATGTTTTAATTTATGTAGAATGACAGGAGTCATTCATTCCCTCCACAATAATACTGAGAGCCAGGTTGTGTGGGAAAGCTGGGGAAGGAGCAGAGAATAAAACTTGGTTTGCATCCCTGGCTCCCATTCTAGAAGCAGAAAACAACTAAAGTGGCAGCAAATGCTCTAAGGGAAAGAAATGCAGTCGAAGAGCTATGGTGGGGGCAGGGGACACTGGCGAGGGCACGTTAGAGAGGTTTGTCAGGAAGGGCTCTCTACGGAGATGTCACTGGTAAGAAAGCCAAAAGCCTCAGGGGCAGAGCTGCTACTTGATGGCTCTCCTGTGTACTCGATGCTTTACACACATGGTCTTGCTTTCTGGGAGCCTCAGAGACAAGTGACATCAAGGAATTTGGCCAATGAAAGTCCTAGAGTGAGGAACTGGCCAATAGGAGAGTCTGAATGAGTTGCTTTGCTGTCTGTACGCTATCTGGGACATGAAGGCTGTTGCTGGGAGCCTGGTGTGGCTGCCCAGCCTCTCCGCCTTTCTTCTTCTTCTTTTTATTTATTTATTTTGAGAGAGATAGAGACAGCGTAAGTAGGGGAGGGGCAGGAGAGGGAGAGAGAGAATCCCAACCAGGCTCCAGGCTATCAGCACAGAGCCTGATGAAGGGCTCAAACTCATGAATTGTGAGATGATGACCTGAGCCAAAACCAAGAGTCAGACACTTCACTGACGTAGCCACCCAGGCACCCCAGCCTCCACCTCCTTTCTTCCTAGTCCCTTCCCCAGCAGAGTCCCAGAGACCCTGCATCTGTGTTGTGATGCAAGCCAAAGAAAAGCCATGACTATGATAAAGTGGTGTCTGCTGTCAACAAAAGGAAAAATTTGGCTCCTTGCTTCCCTTGCCTCAAGCAGAAGCTGGACTGTGGCTCTAGAGCTATTAACGCAGTGCTGTCCAAGCCATAGTTAGGAACTTGATCTCACCCACATGGGCAGGGTGGAGGGGAGGGTTCTAAGGGAGGCACAAATTGAACTTATCAATTCTACTTAAAGCCCCTCGCCAGGCTGCTCCAGGTTCTGGGCACACCTCTCTGCAACTGTGCAGGTCACACTCTGCAGTGCTGCCACACTGTTTGCAGAGTGTGGCATCTGCAAGCGATCCAAGACGCTGCTCCCACCACTTCATATGGTGGGACTCCTCCTGGACTCCAGGGTGGGAGAGATGTCCTTTCTCCACGCTGCCACAGCACCCCATGTCCTCTCACACTGGCCCAGAGCAGGTGCAGGACCATATCTGGGAGTAGTGATGTTGGACCATGTTTCTGCAGATTACACCTACTTCTACAAGGGCCGGGACTACTGGAAGTTTGACAACCAGAAACTGAGTGTGGAGCCAGGTTATCCACGCAACATCCTACGTGACTGGATGGGCTGCAACCAGAAGGAAGTGGAGCGGCGGAAGGAACGGCGGCTGCCCCAGGACGATGTGGACATCATGGTGACCATCAATGACGTACCAGGCTCTGTGAATGCCGTGGCTGTGGTCATCCCCTGCATCTTGTCCCTCTGCATCCTGGTGCTGGTCTACACCATCTTCCAGTTCAAGAACAAGGCAGGCCCTCAGCCTGTCACCTACTATAAGCGGCCAGTCCAGGAGTGGGTGTGAGCAGCCCAGAGCCCTCTCTGTCCACTCGGTCTGGCCAACCAGGCCCTTCCTCATCAGGGTCTCAGGGGCAGCTCTGGCTACTGCCCACCGGGGCCAGCAGGGCCCTAGGCCAGGGGTCGTGCAGCTGAAGTGGTAGGTACACTGACCTAGGCTGAGCATGAGGCAGGGAGTGATGGTGGCTGTGCCCCAGGGTGGGTGTCTGGCAGCCAGCTGCCAGCCTTCTGTCCTGGGCGAACTGCTCCCTACCCAAGGGAATAGGCCAGGCCCCATCAGGAGGCAGGGACCATGCCAGGAGGAGGCCCTGTGGTCACTGCATCCTGTAGTATCGGTGAGGCACCACAGCTCCGTTCCTGGCTGGACCAAGCATCTTCTGTGGAAGCCAGCACTAGCACTCTCAGCCCCATCTGGGAGATGCCACCAATCCTGGTCCCCCTTTGCCAACACCTGCTGGTCAGATGTCTCCCCCACCCCCACCCCACTGTCCTCCAAGGATATGAGACCCCTGCTGCCAACATGGCGGGCAACAAGCCTGGGTTTCTGTTGCTGGCATACAGCAGATCCTCAGGAAACCTGCTCCACACATCAGGGTCTCCTCTGAGATCTAGGATTTAGGGTCACATGTTGCAGGCAGTGCTGTGGCCCAGCTGGGTCTTGTAAGGACCCAGCTGTCATGTCGTGAATATTTAAATGTCCTGTCACTACTGTTTTAAAAGTCCCATTCTGCAAAGGCTGCTTGAGGGGTTAGGTGAATTAGAGGTGACTATCTTGGTGATAAGGCCAGCGTGGCCGGCCGGCCCTTCCCCAGGAGACAAGGACCAAGGTGCTGCTAAGGCCACTCTAGCACCCAGACACCCCAGGGCTTGAACCCTGCTCATGAGGCTAAAGGGCTGGAGCAGGAGCTGACCCCATTTCTAGAAGCTGATCTGAGTTATGACTATCCACTCCTCTGTCCCTCTCTCCACTCCCCATCCCCCACCCTGTTGCTTATGGCCTGGGGTTCAGCCTGCCTAGCTAGGTGAGGCAGAAATGGCTCCAGGCCAACATTTCTCATGGCCTTGGGGGTAATGGGCCCAGGACAGCCTTCTGAAGGGTTCAGAGCCAACACCCCGGTTATCCTGAGGCCAACTCAATCTCTCAGCTTGGAAGCAGTGTTTATACAAACTTGGCCCTTGCTAACCCAGCTCACTGGGCCCATCTGCCTGCATTGCTCTTTGGAAAAGGGCACCCCCCCCCCCAAATGACAGCAGTCCCAATCCTAAGGGCCATCCTTCACAGTCTCTGGGAGAAATTCCTAGGGCTTGCCTCACTCCAACCTAGTGGAGGCAGCCCTGTTCATCACTGAAGAGCCCTAGGCAAGACTAATGGGTTCAGTGATGCCCACTGGCTCTCTGCAAAAGCCAAAAGGTGGTAGGTCTTCAGGGTGCTGGCAGAGTCTCAGATGTCATTCAGGCCCTCTGAGCCTACATGGGCCTCACCCCTACCCTGTGGCCTCTGGGCTTTGGGTTGGCTTAACCTGTAGCAGACAGGGACTACTGTTGCCCTGGGAGCTGTCTTGAGCAAAATCTCTCTTGTCCCAGAGGCACCTATGTGGGTCCACTGTGTTCCCTGTCATCATCCTTCTGTTTTTTCTCATTTTGGCCAAGGGCGGGCTCCCTGGGGCGGGTGGGGAACAACTGCAGAGATATTAGTGATTCATAGGTTTGTACAGTGTTTTATACTTTGCAAAGCACTTTATTAGCTCATACCTGTCCACTCACATGAAACTTGTGTAGGCCCTGGGAAGCCTAGGGTAACTCTCACTGTGCCCTCAAAGGAAGCACAGAGAGGTTGTTTCTCGCCCAGGCCATCGGGTGGGTTGCTGGGCCTCGGGTCCCCACCTATGGACCCCTCTAGGGTCCAAGATGAGATCAGAAGGGTCTCTTTTATCCATCATTTCCTGGCCTCCCTTCACCCCTTCCCGGTCCCTCTCCACTCCTCAGGTTGGTGCTCTCACTTTTTGAAAGCTCTAGGCTCCCCAGGCTCCCCACTGGCTCCTGGTACTACCGAGGCCAGCTGAGAAAGAGCAGGAGATGGAGGCAGGCAGCTCAGGCTGCAGATGTGAGGGATGCAGGGCCAGGCCCAGAGAGGGCTCAGCCTGGAGGCTTCCAATCTCCAGTTCTCCTGTCTTGTGGTCATCTGTTTGCCCCTCACCCCAGGACAAGGCAGACAGACAGAGGGGCACAGCACTGGGGACCCCAGAGCTCAGCTTCCCCTCGGCCTGGGGAATATCACAGCATTTCAGTGTCGGTCACATTTTAAACTGATCAGCCTTTGTATAATGTTTTTTAAATCATTTCTAAATAAACGAAAAATACAGAATGTGTTGTTTTCTTGGGATATGGAAACAAGGATCAGGTTCTGAGAGTGGCCTTAAGAAGCTTCTGGGAGGAGAACAGGGTGCTTTGGGGGTGTCTGCGAACTGTCCCACGCATATCTACCAGCCCAACAATCAGATGTCCCCTCTCTCCAAAAGCCTGGCCCCAGAGGCCCAGTGTTACTGGGGTTCCTGGAACACAGCCTGATAATGCCTCACTGGGATCCAGGGTGGCAGGATAAGCCTCCCCTACGAGAAGTACAGGGAGGGTCACTATGGCAAGGTCTTCTCTGAAGCCAAGGTACCTGGTGCCATAACCAGGGACGAAAGCAAAAGCCCGGTTCTCAGCAGTAAGGGACAGACGAAAGGAGATCAAGTCAGCAATCTTGAGGTCTTACCAGGAGTCCTGGCCTAGTTCTGGAAGCCAGTGAAAAGGAGGGCTGCCCCACAACCGAGACGGCTGTAGGGTGGGGGTGAGCACGGAGGCTTAAGCTGACTTGGGTGCAGTCTAGCAAGAGAACAAATTCGGGGGGAGCTAGAGGTGAGCCGGTACCCCATGGCGACGCTGCGGAGGACGCCATGCCCAAACCTCCTTCTAGTCCTCTGTGACCTCCTCGACTCTCCGAGCCTGTCCTGGGCTCCCGGGAGGTTAAACAGACGACAAGAGAGGAACAGAAGAGCATAACGATGTTGGCAGCCGCCAGTGACTGCGGAGGGTGTCGAGTCAGTACCAGGAGGTGCAGGCGATGAGGAAGCGCACATCGTCCAGTGGCCCCCAGGGCCCGGGTTCAGGCTGGGGTCGCTCAGGGGCTTCGGGCGCCCCTGGCTGGGGCTGGGGTTGGGGTTGGGGCTGCACGGGCTCCGGAGCGCCCTGGCCGCCGCTCAGCCGAGCACCCATGGTCTGCAAAGAGAAGCCGTTAGGTGCAGGGCCGGCTGCACGCAACCCAGTCTTCCCGCCCCCGGCCCGGCCCTCACCTCTCGCTGCCCACGCCGCAGGTCTACAGGATCCTAGTGCCGGCGTCTGCGCTCCGCAGGCCTGCGTAGCGGCGTTGGGAGGGGCCGGCGTCGTGACCTCACTGCGCACAGGCCCCGCCCCCTTGACGCTGCTGCGGGACTTGGGACCCGACCCCACCCACCAGTAACCAGCCAATGCGGCTCCAACGTCCAGGGGCCCCGCCCCGCACACAGCTAGAGATTGAAGGAGCCGCCCTAGCCACGAAGGGCTCCTCTGGAACTTTCCTGGCTCCACACCCACTGGATCTACTAAGGGAAGGCGCCTGCGTTTTCTGAGGATGTCCATGGCACCTGGCAGCCAGGCCAGCAACCTCCATCCACCTTGGTCAAAGAAGACAAGACTGCCCGGTAGCCAGGTGCCCCAGACCCCTTACAGGTCCTCATTGTGGCCCAGAGGAGAGCTGGAACAGATTCTCATTTCTTAAACCCCAGAAGTAGGAGGATGAAGTTGTAGAAAATGCGAGAACTACAGTAGAGTGCTTCTTCCTCTAGCCCTGGGACAATCATCAGCACCCATCCTGATGATCCGGGGAGGAGGGTGGGAAATTGTGATATGGGGGGTGGGGGGTGGTGTGTGTGTGTGTGTGTGTGTGTGTGTCTGTCTGTCTCTCTCTCTCTCTCTCTCTCTCTCTCACCCACTTGCCCCCAGGGGGGTGGGGGGTGTGTGTGCTGCCCACCTTCCCCCAGAATGATGCTAGGGAAGGAGGGTTGTAAGTGGAGGCCCCCAAACAACACTTTCAAGAATAACCAGAGACACCTGCCCTTTAATGGGGGTGGTACAGGAAAGAGAGTGGTCAGTCAGGAGCCAGTAAGGCCTGACAGCACAACATGGCAGATTTTTGGAGTAACTGTAGATCCAGGAGATGGGCACAGGCGAAGAGCTGGGCATCCAGCCACTCACTCCCAGTAAGCTCTCTGCCAACTCCTCCGCCTAGCTGGGTGGGGCAGAGGGAGCCAGAGTCCAGAGGCAGGAACCGGCAGAATAGCATGGAAGGTGACTCAGGTGAGGCTAGAGAGAGAAGGAACACTGTCAGCAGGTGCTTCTCAGAGCACACTCCACCCTTTGTTCTAGCTCAGCGCTGAAGAGCCACCCGCAGAGACCCTTCCAGATTACACGGCTTCCTTGAGTCACAATCCAGTCTAGAACTCTCAAGGCTTAAAAACTACAAGTAACTCCTTCCCCAATCAACTCAATTTATTCAAACTGTTATCAATCACAAACCAGAGCCTCAGGTCACATCCAGCAAACATCAGAGAAGGGAGTAAGGGGATTCAAAAGAAGAGAAGGGATATGCCCAGACTCAAATCCCCCAGTGGCAGGGATGGGGCCAGAACATTCTTCCTGGAGGTAATAAGGATGTGTACAGGGGCACCTGGGTGGCTCAGTGAGTTAAGTGTCTGACTCAGCTCGGATAATAATCTCATGGTTTGTGAGTTCAAGCCCTGCATCAGGCTCTGTGCTGACAGCTCAGAGCCTAGAGCCTGGATCCTGCTTTGGAATCTGTGTCCCTTTCTTTCTGCCCCTCCCCCACTCATGTTCTGCCTCTCTCTCAAAAATTAACACTTAAAAAAAGAAAAATTACAGGAGAAATAAATACGTGTATAATTTTAAAACTAAAGTACATATTTCTAATCAACTACCTGACACCTTCATTATCAGCTCTTATGGTCACCTCAAACTCAAAAGGTTCAAAACCAAAGGAGGGTAATGAGCTGCTGGCCTGGCTGCCAGTATCCATTTCTGTACCTTATCTAACAGCATAAGTTAGAACCACCAGAATACTGACCAGTGCTGGTGACTATGGGCATTTCTGCCTGACTTTAAGAGCAATTTCTGAAATTTTACCATTAAATACACCATTTGCTATAGTTTTTTTAGTAGGTACCAATGATCAGACTGCAGAAATTTCTTTCTGTTCTTAGGCTGCTAAGAGGTTTTTTGTTTGGTCCTTTAATTAAATGATTGTGTATGTGCTGTCTTCTTTGTAAGATTCTATGATCGTATAAAGGACAGGGAGTAGAGGTATATCTTATTCACCAAATCACAACGGTCTGGCATGTTCAAAAACAGCTATTGAACAAATGACAAAACCAGTGGTACCACTTTCCTGTTCAGACCCTTTCACCGCTCTCTCAATTCTGATTCCCCATCACAATCACCCAGAGAAACTTATTAAAATAAACCACACATGGTTGGGTCTCACTCCAGATCTAGGGAATTGGTAACTGAGGGTTGATGCCAGGTATCTACAGTAACAAGCATCCCAACATAGACTAAAGGTCAAAATCACAGGCTTACAGTCAAAAAACTTCTTGAGGTGGGCATTGAGGGTCTTTAACACTCTGGCAATACTACCTTGCCTTTTCACACTCTCAATACTTTCCCACCTCTGGGTCTGTCTGAAGTGCTTCCCTACTCCATCTCTGCATATTCAAATACCTACTCATTCCCCAGGGGCCAGACTAAATGATCTGTCCTCCACGAAACATTCTGGGACACCAGTGTTTCACTGGAGCTTCCTGAGCCACCTAAGGCACCTTTTATCTCTTCTTTGAGGTAGTGAAGAGTTATGTGTAGCCTCTACAACTTCTCAGCTACACTGAGCTCCTAGAGGCGGCACACAGGACTAAGTTGCCTGACTATCCCACATGGAGCCCTATTGACAGGGCTCAATGAACATCAGATGAACGAATGAATGAAGAAGGGAGAATGAAGCGAAGTTTTGCTGTTTTAAGTAGGGGGTCTGTCACTGGGTACTTGCTCTACTATGGGTATATGGGGTTTCAATCCTCATAAAGACTCCTGCGATACTGGGGTGTGGCATGCCTTGAGAAGAATCCTCAATGGGAAAGGGTGAATATTGGCACCTACTGCTCCTCCAAAATAAAAAGAGATTCCAGAGCCTTAGGCTCAACATCCCACTTTTTTCTTATACCCACAAAAATGCAGACAATTGTGATTTCGATGCAATCCCCACCCCCAATAAGTCCTTTAGGGTCTCCTTAGTTCCTAAGAGCAGCTTCCCCTCCTTCCCTCAGCAAATAATTCTTTTTGGTCTCAAGCTCTGGGCTGCTGGCTGGGGACACAAACACACAAGCACACACAGACTACAAAACAATGCGGTCAGTGAGAAAATAAGACAGACCAGAAGGGAGCTTTGCCCAGAGAGGGGACACTGAGCTGACTCTTCCAAAGATAGGGATGAGCAGATATTCAGGCAATGCTCGCTGGCTGTACCTTGTGACTGCTCAGAGGTGTGCAGTGTGCTCTCACACGTGAGGACCTACCAGTATGAATGCAGTGTGGCCCCATGCTAGGGGCATCTCCCTCCTCTACCCCCCAAAGGCAGACGAGAGACCCAGATACCTGTCAATGAGGGAATCCCGCATGCTGGTTGCAATGGTGCTAGGCTGGGCTTCATTCAGCTTGAAGACACTCTCCACCACTGACAGCTCTGTGCTGGTTGTGTCCAGGCCACAGAAGGCACACCAGTCGTTTACCACCATCCCAGCGGCAATCACCTCGCTGCCTCGGTTCACAGTGCCCGCCTGCCAAGGGAGAGCTCAGTGTGGATCACGGCACCAAAAGCCACAGTCCTGCCACTCCCTGGCGAGGATGCTCCCCAAACTCTGCTCCCTGACCTGCATCTCCAGTTGCAAACCGTGACAGGTAATAACTCAGACCCTTAACACTGGGTGAAGGATCTGCCTCAGGAGGAGACAGAGATCAGACAAAGGAATGCTTACCACAAGAGGGACCTGAAGAAGAGAAGACAGCTCATCTTGGTCTTCAATTGAAGTCTTGGGATGTACCAGTCCTCCCTGATTGCTGAAGACACAGTAGCTTCCAACTAGCACCTGGTCAGCCACTGTCTGTCTGAAGACTTCCACCTTGAGCACATCAGCCAGGATTTCTTCTGTTTCCTATTAGCCAAGGCACTGTACTCAGGGCCCAGAACCTGCAGGTCAAGGAACCTGGGGCCCTCTACACCCAGAACCACACAGGGCATGGCTCCTAAGCCCCCCATCGCTCTGCTAATATAGCTGCATGTGGAAGCTTCATGCAGAAAAAGGAGAAAATCTAGCTTGAAGCATAGTCTAGACCAGCTATGGAGTCCCTAATAGATGCACGTGCCCTAAGAAGATACGGGCTGGTCTCTACATCACCCTCTTCCCTCTAACCCACACTCAAGAGTTGATTGTCAAATCGTCTCTTCTGGCTCTGGTTGCAGGTTGGGATGGACCAGTCTCCGATTTTGAAGGATTAATACCCTCCTCAGTTTCTTTCTGGCACTGATCACACCTCTATTATCACTATTATAACTATTCCAATAAGTGTCTGAAATCTGAGAGCCCAAGCATAAAGAGAAACAAGAGACACCCCTAAGTCCTTCCTGACAGGCAAGAACAGTGACTAGACTAACCACTGACTAGGCTGGTCCTGTGACTCTTGGGCGAAATTGGGCTACCTTACCCTGTCTAGGTCTGGGTGGACCAAGGCCACGTAGTCGTTGCACGTGGTGACATTGCCTAGGGCTGAAAGCCGCTCCTCCACCCGCCGGATCTGCACTGAGTCTGGGAGGCAGTTGCGAATGTGCTGCAGCTCCTGGTCGGTGGTGTTGTTGGGCACCAAGAGACCATGTCTGTTCCCTAGAGAGATCCAAATTAGGGGGTGGGGCAAGAATAGACCACAAATACACAGGATGTCTGCTAAGCTCCAGGGGCTTCAGATACAACCCAGCCCAGTCAGTTTCCCCAGGAAAGCTTTAGACCCAGACCCCAGCCCGCTAACCCACTGATCCATACAACACCCCTGGGGACCAGGAGTCCCACTGGGCACGCCAGAGATAGCCCAGGAATTTGTTTCAACACACACTGCCCATTTTGCCATTATCAACCAGGGGGGACCAGGACTAACAGGAGGAGCTCTTGGCTTTAGCTATATATTTTGCGACTTAAAAACCGAGGTAACACCTACACACCTACCAGAAGGGCTAACATTTTAAAAAGAATGCCAATACCCACAAAAACAGACCCATAGACCAATGGAACAGAATTGGGAACTCAGAAGTGGACCCAAAAGTATACAGCCAACTGATCTTTGACAAAGCAGGAAAGAATATCCAATGGAAAAAAGACAGCCTTTTTAACAGATGGTGTTGGGAGAATTGGACAGCAACATGCAGAAGAATGAAACTAGATCATTTTCTCACACCATGCACAAAAATCAACTCAAAATGGATAAAGGACCTGAACGTGAGACAGGAAACTATCAACACCCTAGAGGAGAAAGCAGGAAACAACCTCCTTGACCTCCACCGCAGCAACTTCTTACTTGACACATCCCCAAAAGCAAGGGAATCGAGAGCAAAAATAAACTGTTGGGACCTCATCAAGATTAAAAGCTTCTGCACAGCAAAGGAAACAACCCAGAAAATTAATAGGCAACCAACGGAATGGGAAAAGATAGTTGCAAATGACATATCAGATAAAGGGTTAATATCCAGAATCTATAAGGAACTCACCAAACTCCACGCCCGAAAAACAAACAACCCAGTGAAGAAATGGGCAGAAGACATGAACAGACACTTCTCCAAAGAGGACATCCAGATGGCCAACAGACACATGAAACGATGCTCAGCATCCCTCCTCATCAGGGAAATACAAATCAAAACCACACTGAGATACCACCTCACGCCAGTCAGAGTGGCTAAAATGAGCAAATCAGAGAACTCTAGATGCTGGCGAGGATGTGGAGAAACGGGCACCCTCCTGCACTGTTGGTGGGAATGTAAACTGGTACAGCCCCTCTGGAAAACAGTGTGGAGGTTCCTCAGGAAACTAACAATAGAACTCCCTTATGACCCAGCAATAGCACTGCTAGGAATTTACCCAAGGGATACAGAAATGCTGAGGCATAGGAGCACATGTACCCCAATGTTCATAGCAGCACTCTCCACAATAGCTAAAACATGGAAAGAGCCTAAGTGTCCATCAACAGACGAATGGATCAAGAAGATGTGGTTTATCTATACCATGGAATACTACATGGCAATGAGAAACAATGAAATCTGGCCATGTGTAGCAACATGGATGGACCTTGAGGGTGTTATGCTGAGCGAAATAAGTCAGGCAGAGAAGGACAAATACCATATGTTTGCACGTATAGGAGGATTAGGAGGAACTTGACGGAGGACCAAGGGGGAGAAGAAGGGCGGAAATGGTGGGGGAAAGGGAGAGAGGCAAACCATGAGAGACTCTTGAATGCTGACAAAAACTGAGGACTGATGGATGTGGGGGGGAGGGGGGATGGGCATGAAGGAGGGCACTTTGGGGATGAGCACTGAGTGTTATGTAGAAACTAATTTGACAATAAACTATTTGTAAAAAAAAAAAAAAAGAAAAGAAAAGAAAAGAAATAAAAAGGACACCAAACAACCAAAAAAAAAAAAAAAAAGAATGCCAATACCAAATGTTGGCAAAGATATATGGAACAATCAATAGGAGTGCAAATTGGTCAACCACTTCAGATTAGTATCTGGCATCACCTACTATACAGAATGTCCACATACCCTGTCCCCAACGAGCCCTCGCCGCCTTATACAGCCAATAGAAACATGTACATGTGTTCACTAAAAGACACAGCAACAACTGTTCATGTGAGAACTGAAAGCTACCCTAATGCCCACTGTCAATACAATGCATGAATATACTGTGGTATATTTACACAAAACACGGTAAGAATGAACAAACTACAATTATATCGTGACAACAACAACTAAACCTCTGCCTACCTCCACAAGAACACAATTCTTGAACTTCTAAACTCTAAGTTACACCCATTATAAAAAAAAAAAAAAAAAACAAAACCCACAAGCATCAAGTTTAAAGGTCATAGTTAGGTCCAACAGTGTTTGGCCTGAATTAGAAAATAGAGGCCAAGGTCATTCAGCTTTATGATAAAGAAAATAAAAGAACAAACTCCTATATGACCCCAATGAATAGAACTGGAAATACAGGGTGACAGTAAAGGGAGACAGATCCAGCTCAAACAAAGGACCAATGGGCAGACTCAACAGTGATTAGAAGTAGGGGAGTAGGATAGGGACAGAGACATGGTAAAGGGACTTTAACATTTAAAGGGATAATGAATAAGATACCCAGAATCTTAGCTTGTCATTTTGTAGAGGCAGAACTGGATCATCAGAAAGAGGAAGCAACTTGCCCAGAGTCAGTGGCAAGGGAGAGACATTTCTGTCTTCCCTCCCAGGTGTGGAGGGAAGGTGTGGTACTTCGTGAGTCACTTAGATTCCTTGAATCTTGGCTTCACCATTAGTCAGATTAGGCCAATAATGCCTGCCTGCCTCCCTCCCTGCCAGGGTTTTCGTGAAAGAATGCAATCAAGTTTAAGAGTGAAAGCACTTAATGTTGTTATCCTATGATCCAGAAGCCTTTGCCAGTGATCGTCCCTGATCTGAAGGCACTTAAACACAGGGTCCGGCATAGGCCAGAGAGATTCTCTAGTCTCTGGAGATAATGGATAAAAGCCTGGAAATCCAAGGGTCACTAGGAGTCCCCTCCAAGGCTACAATTAAAGGCTCTGGGAGGATCCACTTCCTCGCTAGGCGTCTGGCTTACCCACACACATGCGCCCGATGATGCGGCAGCCAGCGATGGACGCGTGCACCACGGGGATGGTATCAGCGAGCTCGCCCTCGAACACACTGTAGGGACGTGGATTCAGCGGTTAAGGGGCTGAGGGGTCTGAGCCCCCGACTCCCAGCACCCTCTCAGCCATCCAGCCACCCCACTGCCAGCAGACACCTGGGCTCCCGCCGCACCTGTAGAAGTTCTCCGACCCTCCGATGGCCACCAGGCAGTAGGTGTTGGTGAGTTTGGCAAAGCACCCGACCTCACAGTTATTCTCGAAAGACGCTCGGACCGCCATGAGGCCTAAGGGCTGCGGGACCTGGGGTTCAGGGCCAGTGGATCCTCTCTCCGCCCTGGGTCCGGGTCTCCCGGCCTCAGCCTTTCAGGGCCCGCCGTGAACCGCGCCCCTTTCGGCCTCTCAAATCTCAGGTCCCGCCCACTGGACCCCTCTACACTCTCTGGCCCGGAATCTTCCGGCCCCTACCACTCACGATGCCGGGATCCCGGAACTGTCCCTTCCGGGGTCCCTCCACACCAGCTCACCAAACGACTGCAACCTCCGCACGCTTCAACAGCTTCTATTCGGCCCGAAGTAGGTTTCCGTTTCCGCCTCCGCCCAGGGAGACTTCCGGGAGAGCTGGGAGCCCCCACCCACGCAGGCGGCCACCGTAGCTCCACCCCCTGGGAGGACTCTATGGTTGCAAGTGATCTGGTCTGGACCCTACCTGGCCCCGCCCCACGCATGCTCTCATGCATTCACTACCTCATTTATTCAAGCGTCTTTTGGGAGGTGCCATTGACCAAGACTTGTGGCTGGCTGCATACGAGGCATAAGAGAGGAGGAGCCCCAAGGATGTTCCGCAGAAGATGAGTTAATGATGGAAGTATTTACTGAAGTAAAGCCTAAGGAGAAAGAGCAGGTGTGGGGAAAGTGACACGCCGAGTGTGAGGTTCGAGACAGACGTCCAGGCCAGATCTGGAGCCCAGGGGAGAGTGAGGGGCTGAGATTTGGGGCTGAAGTCTGGGGTGGGTGAGGTCACCCACGGAGGCGTCCAGTAGGGAGAAATAAGACAGGACAAAGGCTGGAGAAGGAGATGTGGCCTGAGAAGTAGAAGAAACTAGTCTGAAGAAGGTATTGGAGAAAGGGTAGGATGGATGAAACTGGGTCTTAGGGAGGGACCAGATGGGCAATGGTTTGGATGCTGACTGGCTTCCACCATGCATGTGCTTGGTCACTCACTCAGCAGCCACTCTTTGTCCCCGAGATAGATGGTAGCAGTCAAGGGACCCGCTCTCATGGATGAGATGAACGTGATCTACATTTTGTAGAGTCTACAAAAGACCCAAGGCCTCTCAGAATGTCACAATAAGGGTAGAGGGGGCTTGGATCCCCTGTCCTCTCTCAGCCCTTCTGCAAACATCCACTCTCCCTCAGGGAGCCCTCCACAATTGGCCAGAATGGTGCCCTTCCCCAGCCCTCAACGTGCACTTCGATAACTCCACCTTTCTCAGGATACACCAGGTTGCTGCTGGGTCATAGCATGTCTGCCTTTATTTATTTGTATTGTGTAAACGGTCCCAGGAAGATGGTGAGCCCAGGAAAAGATGCACAACCTGTCAGAGCCTCTGTGTGTGTGTGTGTGTGTGTGTGTGTGTGTGTGTGTCTGTCTGAGTATCCACACGTTCTACATCCTCCCCAGTTCATCTCAGACCCACTCATACAGTCCTGTCCCTGCCGTCTCTTCACCTGCAACCCTCTACCAGGAATTCCTCTTCTTCATCTGTCCAATCCTCCCCATCCTTCAAGGGCTGACTCAAAGTCTGCCTCCTTTGAAATTTTCCTCACCACTCCACTGTCACCATCCCGTCACTGATTGCCTTGAGTTAGATACAGCTCTATCTTGCCTGCCAATGGTTTATGTATTTAAAATTTTTTTTAATGTTTTTTATTTATTTCTAGGAGAGAGAGAGACAGCATGAGCAGGGGAGGGTCAGAGAGAGAGGGAGTCACAGACTCTGAAACAGGCTCCAGGCTCTGAGCTGGCAGTCAGCACAGGGCCCGACGCGGGGCTCGAGCCCACGAACTGCGAGATCATGACCTAGGCGAAAAGTCGGACACTTAACCGACTAAGCCACCCAGGCGCCCCAACTCATTCTCACTCTTAACTGATGTACTCTGCTTCCCAATTCACTGACACACAACACACATCATCTACCCACCTAAATGCATCTATGCCCATATAGTTCCCTCAGTGGATCTTAAGTTTCCACCAAGGGATGCAGCAATGATTAAACNGAGCAGGGGAGGGTCAGAGAGAGAGGGAGTCACAGACTCTGAAACAGGCTCCAGGCTCTGAGCTGGCAGTCAGCACAGAGCCCGACACGGGGCTTGAACCCACGAACCGTGAGATCATGACCTAAGCGAAAGTCGGACACTTAACCAACTAAGCCACCCAGGCGCCCCTGGTTTATGTATTTAATCCTTATCTCCCAGGCACTGAGTCTGATTCACTTGTCAGCCCTGTGGTAGATACTCAGCTTAGGCCAATGGAGATACCGATTGGTGTGTGCATACCTATGTGTGTGTGTGTATGATGTATGTATGTGGTTATGTGCGTATTTATTTCTGTGGATCCTGAGGGGTCTATAGTATGCACTGAATGCATATATTTTGTGTAGCCACTCATTTAGCCATATTATATTCATTGAGTACCTATAACTAGAATTCTGAGTGTTTGGGTTTATCACAAACCTTTGTTTTTACTTACTGTGTGTCTATGGGTATGCAGTTTGTGGGTATGAACCCTGTCAGTGCGCTGTGTATGTTGTACAGGCATTTGGGGCATCTCTGTGATGTGTGTATTTTGTGTGCATTGCGACATGTGAACTGTTGACAATGGTGTGTTATGTCTGTGCAAAAATACAATCTTAAGCATTAGGGACACGGGTTTGGGCCCCAGCTCTGCCACTGATTCCACTTGTATCAGATTCCAAGCAAGTTATCAAACTCTCTGGACCCCAGCTTCCACATTTATAAAACAGGAAAGATAGTACCCATGACCCTAGAAATATATATCTACTAGAGGTCTATCTTGTAGGATGTTGTAAGGATGAAGGATGAGAATTAACCTGTGTAAGGCACCCAGCACAGTGGCAAATGTCAGGTACTGTGGGTTCTATTTTCATGTGTGTGTGTGTGTAAACAAGAATTCTGAACTCAGTGAGTGTCTAACCTGAGCTTCTAGACACCCTCTGCTCCCCATGCAGCCCCTGCTGGAGAACCATAGAGTCTGCAACCTGAGTAAATGTAGAATATAAGTAGATGGAGGAGGGACATGCCCTTGCTGGGATCAGGACTAGGACTCAAAGCGGCTTCGGAGCAGTTTGAACTTGGACTTGTTGTACTTAGTGATGAGGTCCAGTTTGCTGTGGCCCAAGGTCAGCCGCTTCTCATCCCCTGACAGACCATTGCTACTGCCATTGTGATGACCACCTGTCAGGACCCCAGGGAGGCCAGGCTCAGGTCCTTGCCTGGCACCCTGCAATCGATGATACTTGGTAATGAGGTCCAGCTTGCTGTGTCCCAGGGTCAGCCTCTTCTCATCCCCAGAGCCCACTCCAGCCTTTCGAGCAGAGCTTGGTCTGGGGAGACCATTGGGCCCAGGCCCCTCACCCCGGAATGGTCCAAACTTTGTGATGAGGTCCAGCTGGCTGTGGCCCAGGGTCTGTCGTCGCTCATCAGGACCCTGCTTGCCAGCCCTGGCTGAGGAGTTGGCTTCAGGGAGCACTCTGGAGCCCCTAGCCTTGGTGTACTGTACCAAGAGGTCCAACTGGCTGTGGTTTGAGGACAGCCTCTTGTACTCTGGGATTTGATTGCCATGTCTGGGGGAGCCTGACTCAGGGGTACCCCCAGCACCCTGGGTCTGGGGCAGGAGATCCAGCTGGTTGTATCTCTCATTTGGGGACAACCTCCTGTCCTCTGAAGCCTGGTCTCCAGGCCAGAGGGAGCCTGAGTTGGGATTAACCCCAGAATCAGGGCCTCCAGCTTCTCTGGCTCTGGGGAAGGGGACAAGGAGATCCAACTGGCCATGGCTCTGATTCAGAGACACCTTCTTCTCCTCCACTGTCTCCAGGGCTGTGCTAGGTACCCAGCGACTTCGTTGGGGACTAGACTCCTGGCTTCCCAGGAGCCCATTCTCTGGGAGCCGGGACAGGGCTGCAACACCCTGGGGGAAGGGGAGGAGGGGGCGTTGGCGAACAAGCAGAGGTGACCCCACTGCCAGGGTCAGGGGGCTGGCACCATTGTGGTTGAGGGCAGGGGAGGACTGGGACCATGGGGACACCCCCAGCTTGCCTAGATTGGACCTGTAGGGCCCTGTCAGGGAGCCATGGTTAGGGTCTGACAGCTGGCGTTGCAGAGAGGGCTGGCCACTGGCCTCGCGGCGGGCAGGGCCCAAGGATGAGGACCCTATGCCCATGTCACTGCAGCCACCGCCTCCTGGTGGACTGAGGTAAGAGGAGTGGCCCACTAGAGGTGAGCGTTTGATGCTGCTAAGGCTGGTGCTGGAGGGTGAGGAGGATGCTGGGCTCGACACACCGGGCCGGAAGCCCAGGGCCACCGTGGGAGGACACAGTGCCCTGGGAGGTATGGGATCCTCACCACCGCAGAAGCCCTCCACAGGCCGAGACTCGGCATACAGACAGCGGAACTCCCGGTCAAAGTCTTCCACAATGCGGCCCCTCAGCTGCAGCACCATGCTAGTGTGGGCCTGGCTGCAAAGCCAGGTGAAGCTGAGGACGGAAGGTCAAGGTCAGAAGGCAAAGTGCAGGACCCAAAGTGCAGGGGTCATAACCCAGGGAACATACCAAGACAACTCCACCACCATTAAGACCCAAGTGAGGGGACAGAGCTCTGACTTCAGAGTCTGTGCTAGTCCTAACTCAGAGGACTTGGACACATGGTTTCCCATCTCGGGGCCTCAACTTCCCCATCTGTAAAATGGACTGGGGGCAAGAGTTCTTGGAGTCCCTCTAGTTCTGAGATGCATATATGCCAAAGACACTAAAGTAATATTTCCACAGAGTGAGGTCCTCCAGGGCGCAGTGGAGGGCTGTCTTTCCCCCCACACATGCCCTAAGACCCGCACAATGCCTGGCACTTGGTAGCTGCCTAGTCCATGTTGCAAGGGTTGGGTGGATGAAGGTAAATTCAAGCTGCCAGATCCCAGGTGCCCTCACCAGCCAGTAGTACAGCCCCGGCCCCTCTCTCCCTGTTCCAGGTGCTCACCTGTAGCTGCCTGCCACCACCTGCTCACAGTCGATGATCACAAACTTCTCCAGGGCCTGGCCCGTGAAGCGGCGGCCAGCCTTGCTGCAGTACGTGTCCCCATATGTGCTCCGTACACGCATGTTCTGGGCCAAGGAGGTAGGTAGGTTGGGTAGTAACCTTGAGAGAATGGGGCTCAAGCCACATCTAAATCCCATGCTGTCTCTAACCTTAAACAGCTAAGGAAACTCAGTCGCCCGCTCCCATTGACCCCCCCCCAGTGCTTACTGACCCTTCTGCCCTCCTTGACGCCCCCACCCCCACCCCGGTTACTGCCCCTGTCCCTCACTGACCGGCAGGTGCCCCCCATTGAGGTCCATCTTGTAGCACATCTCCAGGAAGTGCCTTAGGTGCTCCTGAGCCAAAAGCAGGTAAACGGGGACACCACGCCGGCTCGAGGCCTCCATGAGGTCACATAGAAGCTCCATGTCAGTGAATACATCCATCACGACAGCTACCACCTGGAGGATGTAGGAACAAGTTCAGCCCTGCCCAGGATATTGCCCAGCCCAGGAGTGGGGACTGAGGTCCCAGGAAAAGAGAACTAGGCTTAAGATCAGGAGGCCAGAACCTGTAAGAACATCTGGACTGGAAGGACTTTTAGCAACAACCTAGCTCAGAGGTTCTTCACTTAGACTTGGGGGAGAGGGGGTTCCACTGTGTTGAATGCCCAAAATATGTTTGAAAGCTTCTGTGTGCATATTTCTGGGGACAGAGGGTTTATCTGTCATAAGCTCCTCAAAGATATCTGTGGGGAGACCTAGGCCCAGAGTAGGGAAGGAGTCAGGAGCAGAGCCCAGACCTCGACTCCCAGCATAGGCCCTCATACTCTCCCACTAGCTCCAGCCCTAGCGCTGTTGAAGGCTCCCTCCTCAAGAATTAGAGCTGCAAGCCAGTTACTGGGGACTTCAAGCCATTTTCCAGACCTACCTCAGTTTCCCTGCAAAGCTACAGAGGTCTAGTGTGGTATCTTATACCCACAGACTCCCTCACATCTACCCACACCAAGTGGGACCAAGTTTTCTGCTCAGTTGAGGGACTGGGGCTTGTGGTCTCCTCATATAATGGACTGCCTCAGAGCAGCCCTGAAACCTCCCCCCCACCCCACCATCAAGCCCCCAACTGCCCCTTCTTCCTTTTGCATCTATCTGCTGTGAGAACTGCCTCTCCTCATCCAGACTGAGGCAAGAGGTGCAAAGCACTCCAGCTCTGGAGCCAGACAGAACTGGGTTCAAATCTGCACTCTGCTACTTCCTAGTGACAGGACCTTGGGTGAGTTTCTTCACCTCTGTGAACCCCAATTTCCTCATCTGTTAAATGGAGATAATGATAACTACAGCTCATAGTTATGGGGAATTCAGTGTGAAAATACTCAACACACAACAGAAGCTCAATAAATGTTCCTGTCCTGCTGCCTGCTTAACAAACAAGGACGTTGGCCCACAGGAAAAGGAAGCCCTTCCCAAGGTTATTCTGAGAGTCAGTGACAGCCCAGAGTGGAAGTCTGGCTCCTGGCCCAGAGGTGGAGGGTCTAGATGAGGAGGCAAGGTGCTAGAGGGTGCCATGGAGGAGGCAAGGTGCTGCCATGGCACAGGCCTGGCTGAGGGTGGAGGGGAACAAGGTCAGGTAAGAAAGATCAAAGGGGCAGGGGTGACAACAGCAGCCACCTTACTAATAACCCCATTCCCAGTGCTAATCAGGCCTGGCCCTCCCCTGCCTGGGGCACAGGCAGGTTTGCCAAGGAGGTTCTGGAGGTACCTGGGAGATCCCAGCATGCTGGCTTCTGATCTCTGTAGCAGGCTACTCCCCCAGAAAAAGACACTGAGTCTAACCCACATCAAATCCTTCCTGGGGTTATCTGATCCATTCCCCTGCCTCCTGAGTCGGAGGCCAGGGCTCAGGAATGAAGCTTTGTTAGTCTGTGGCTGAAGCCTTCACAGGTACCAATCACCGGACCTGCTCTCCTCCCCTGTTTCTCTTTCTCCTGAGCCTCAGTTTCCTATTCCTGAGCCCAGAAGCCTCCGCCCCTCTTCCCTTTTGGTGCAGAACTAACAGTCCAGCCCTCAAATGCCATGCTGAGACCCTGGCACCAGTGCCCTCTTTGCCTGTCTCAGGCCCAGCTGGAGATGCAGTATAGGAGGGGGGAGGTGCAGCTGGGGATATGCACCAAGAGGCAGGGCCGAGCCAGGGTCCAAGGCCTGAGTCAGGGCCCCTTTCTTTCTCCCTGAGCTCTATTTCGCCAGCTAACTTTACCTTCCTGAACAAGTTCCAGCCTCTCTCTGGCCTCAGTTTCCTCCTCAGTAAGTCAAGGGGGTGACTCAAATGTTCATCAAGATAGGACTTCTTAGTTTGGGATCATAAACTCTTCAAGAATCTAATGGAGGCATGGACCCTCTCCCCAGAAAGATTCAGAGAGGACCCCTCCCAGAAATTTCCCCAATTCTGCATGTATTTTTAGGGTGTTTGGTGAGTAATGTTCTTGAGTGCCAAGGGATTACCAAAGTAAGTAAAACAGATGCCCACCCTCTAGGAGCTTGTGATCTGATAGAGGCCAGAGAGTCTAGTTCCAGTGCTGCCCCAAGCTGCTTCATATGGCATTGGGTTGGTCTCTTTCCCTCCCCAGGCCTCAGTTTACACATCTGTGGAATGAAAGTCTGAAGATATAAGGCCCTTACCGTGCGGGCCTGGCTGAAGAGAAAACGCAGAAGGTCCTTGATGTTCTTGGCCTTGTCCCGCTGGAAGTGGACCACTGCCTGGGTGGGGCTGAAGCCTGTGGCCTGTGGAACCTCAGGCCAGCCCAAGTCCAGGTCTGGGGGGTCTACATCGGAGGCCATTGGGAAGTAAGTGCCTGAGGTGATTTCAGAGAGCAGGCTGAGGCGGTCAGGCCCTGAGGCCTCCAGTCCTTGCGCCTCACTGAGCTCAGGGCCCCCATGCACATGGCTGGTCATGTAGTCCACGTCCAGAGCACTCAGGAAGGGCAGCTCTCGCTCCTCAGAGATGACCCGCAGGTAGGCAGCCTCGCCCCGCTCCAGGAGGGCGTCGGCCGCCAGCCGGGCAGCCTCACTGTGCTGCAGCACCAGTGGTGAGGCCTCCCGCCACCATGGCCGCTTCAGTTCCTCCACCCGGCCCCGCAGGGGTCCTGCCATGCCCTGGGCCCCCGTGTCTCCAGGCCCCAGGCCTCCAAACATTCCTGCCCACCCGGCAGCCCTCACCCTCCAGTAGGCTCCATGGCCTGCACCCTGGGCTGGCTGCAGCAGGAAGAAGATACCGATAGAAGCACCTCCTGCCTGCCTGCCCTGTATGTGCCAGGGCCTCCAACACGTTGCCACCCTAAGTCAGAGCCATGCTCCGCCCCATTGCCCCTGGCCTCTGGAACCTGTTGGGTCAGCCTCACCTGTCTGCCTGCTGTTGAGACTCGCCCGCTCAGGGAAATGGCAGTGCCAGGCCCTTAGCACACACTCCTGCCCACCCCAACCCTGGCCCCACCCCAGCATCACCCGCCCCAGGCCCACCAGGCTCCCAGCAAGTTTTTCCAAACCCTGACCTTCCAGAGCCCCCATAGAAATCAGACTATGGTCCAGAGAGGCCTGGGCCTGCACAGACACACACATGCACACACACACACGCATACACACCAGGTGGATAAATGACTCAAGACACCGAGATAAAGATATGAACACACAAGTAGACAGGCTGACATGTCATACGCAGACCATATGTTTCAATCAAACCCGTGTGGACTGACCCAAGTGCTAATTCAGAGACGAGCCATAAGCCTAACCATACTATGGTGGATAACACAAGCCTTGGCACACCTGCATACAGACCCTAAATAAGAACTGAACAGGGCATCACACAGAACTGTCAAGGACACCAACACCTATCCAGGTGTCCGCCATCCAGGCCCCTCTGCTCCCATGATGGCTTTGCCACTCTCTACCTCTGTAAGTGTAACACTCACAGTCCCCTGCCCAGCCCCTACCCTGGCTCTGAGCCCATCCTCCAAGGATCTCGAGCAGTGGCTTTTACCTTAGTCCCCAGGAACAGCTGGTGAGGGTTAAAATACTGATCCCCAGGATCCACCCATCTGAGATTCAAATCCAGAAAGTCTAAGTAACCTTCTGAAGCCTGCTGTTTTACAAGTACCCCAGTGTACTTGGGACAGTGGACCCAGGCCCATCCCTGAGAAATGCTGTTCCACACGGCTTGGCTTGGTGTGGGCCACACCACATTCTTCCTCCCCACCTCAGGAGCTGGGTATTAAATGATTAGTATGAAAGCTTGTTTTAGAGGATGGGGGCCCACTGCAAGGTCAGGAGGCAAACAGAGCAGACACGTTTCTGTTCTCTGCCCCTAACAAGGGCCACGGTACCAGAGTCCTCAGTAGCATGAGTGAGAAGCTTTTCTCTGGAGAAGAGGGGTCAGTAGATGGCAGTTAGTTAGGGAGGCAGCCCAGGCAGAAGTGGTCACAACAGTGCACAATGCCAGCTCAAGTTACCACCCTTCTAAGGAGGGACAAGGTCCAATGAGGATGGCCTGGAGAACGGAGACTTAACACTGTGTCTCACAACCCTGTATAATACTGATTACACTTGCTTTATCTGGTCTGTGATCATGATCAGACCAGACACAGGTCCTTCTATGTCCAGAGTTTCACACAGGGCCTGACACATTCATGGCAGGGTGCAGAGGGATTTAGGGGTTCCCATGTTGAGCTGGGCCCTGGGACTGAAGATGAATGGGGCTGGGGCTTTGTCTTTGAGGAGTCTAGGAGTGAGGCCCCCAGGAGTCAGGGTAAGGCCAAGAGGTGAGATGCTGGGCCATTCCATCCCATTCCAGAGGCAGGGGCAGACACTGGAACACCAGGTGCTCTAAGGAAGTCCTTCTGTGGTGGTGGTGCATGAAAGGTAGGAAGTTAGGTGAACAGAGCCAGACCATGGGAGGGTAATGAGCTGTAGGGGTAGCCAAGGAGGCAGGGCCCTCATTAGGGTCTTATCTCCAGATTTGTTTAGGGGGAGAACCGGGCCCTTATCTGGGTTGGAGAAGTGTTCCTGGGAAGGGAGGCTGCGTGTTTCTGTGTTGCTGAGTTCCTGTGTTTATCCCTCAATGTTTACACATCTATCTGATGATATGTATTGCTGGCTATCTTTATAAAAAGGTTTTTAATTGTGGGAAAAGACATATAAAGTTTACCATCTTAACCATTTTTAAATATACAGTTCAATGGAATTAAATGCATTCATTGTTGTGCAATCATCACCCACCAGGACTTTTTCATCTTCCCCAGTTGAAACTCTGTACCCTTAATTAAACACCAACTCCCCATTCCCTCCTTTCCTCCAGTCTCTGGTAACCACCACTCTTTCTTTTTTTTTTTTTAATGTGTACTTATTTTTGAGAGAGAGAAAGAGAGCGAGTGAGCAGGGGAGGAGCAGAGAGAGGGGACTAGAGGATCCCAAGCGGGCTCCAATGTGGGACTCAAACCCATGAACTGTGAGATCATGACCTGAGCCGAAGTCAGACACTTAACCGACTGAGCCACCCAGGTGCCCCACCACCACCCTACTTTCTGACTCTATGAATATGACTACTCTAAGCATCTCATCTCAGCAAAATCAAACAGTATTTGTCCTTTCATGACTGGCATATTTCACTTAGCATAAGGTCCTTAAGGTTCATCCATGTTGTGTCAGAATTTCCTTCTTTTTTAAGGCTGAATAATATTCATTGTGTGTATATACCACATTGTTTATCTATTCAACAACTGATGGACACTTGGGTTGTTTCCACCTTTTGGTTATTGTGAATAATGCTGCTTAAACACAGGTGTACAAATTTAGCTCTAGATTTTTGTATTAGATTTTTTTTTTTTAAAGTAAGCTCTATGCCCATTGTGGGGCTTGAACTCACGATCCTGAGATCAGGAGTAACATGCTCTACAGACTGAGCCAGCCAGACACCCCTAGATTCTATTTTTGTAAGAAAAAAAACAACACTGAATATCAGTAATTTCATATGGTTCAACTCATATATATACATATGCCCATACATAACTGTACCTGTGCATGTAATGTACATGTACATGCTATCTGTGATGATTGTGTGTCTGCGTGGCTGTCTTTAAACATCTAGCCGTATGTCCTTGTGTATTTACCTGTGTCTGCACGTGTGGGTGAAGATCTGTTTGTGTGCATGTGTGACTGGGCAACAGGGGAGGTCTTTGACCCTAACTCTGCAGTGCGGTACTGGGTGTGCGTACAGGGAGCTCAAGTGAGAGAGGCAGAGATGGGAAGACAATGAATTAAAGTGGAAAGAGCTCCAAAGTATCCCTGACATGCTGATAATGGAAGCATGTAAATCAAATCCCCCAGGTGGCAAGACTAGCCCCTCCCAATGGGCTGAATGGGTGAAGGGCAACCGGAGGGTAGACAAGTATATCCTGGCCTCAGGGCTGGGCCTGGGCCGGACACCCAGAGTGGCAGAAGCCATACAGATAGCAAAGCCCGGACCCTGGCAGCAGTGTGTTGCCACAGGCCACTTAATAACTGTTATTAAAAGGACGAAAAATATTTTCCTGTCCCGGGGATGTGTCAGGCGCCTGTCTGGCATCATTCTGCCATCCCGGGGGCCACTTCACCTGGTCTGTTGTCTCTTATAAGCCAGGTGGCGCCTGGGCTGATAATTGTCGTGTGGGGATGGTCGGAGTCCATCAGGTGCAGGTGGCTCTGACGCCAACACTGTCGCGTACCTTTTATGTGGCACTTCTGGGTCAGCTGAGACAATATTCCTGGGAGGAGCAGCCAGAGAGAGTAGGAGAGCCAGGTCTGCTCAAATCCCTTGCATCAAGGCAAAGTGACCTGAGAGCTAGAGACACAGGAATAAGCGGTGAACATATTAAAGGATGAGGAAGACTCCAAGATGTGCAGAAGGACATTCGGGGCTGGAGGACTAGAGGGGCAAGAGCACGGGCTGCTAAAGGGAGAAGGGGGCTGTGGTGCGGGGAAAGGGCTGCCAGAAAGGCCTCTGAAGCCACACCCTGAAGAGGGCCTTTCTGAATTGCTGGCTCTCATTATCCAGACGATGGTGCAAGGTTGGCAAGATTCCTAGAGTGGTATTTTAGGAGAACTTATGAAACAGCCCCCCGGGGGAGAGTGGCCTGAAGCACCAGACTCACAGAAAGAACCCAGATGGGTGTGGTTCCCTGTTCCTGAGCACCTCGCAGGCCTTCAGGAGGTCCCACTGGGTCTGGCGCTTAATGAGCAAATCGAACAATCACAACTCTGAGTCACAATGGTTTAATCTGTCAAATGGGACCAATGTCACCTCCTTCACTGGGTTTTTGTGAGGAATAAATGGGCTGTTCTTTTATATATATATTTTTTGAGTTTGTTTATTCCTTTTGAGAGAAAGTGCAAGTGAGGGAGGGGCAGAGAAAGAAGGAGAGAGAGAATCCCAAGCAGGTTATACACTGTCAGCATAGAGCCCAATGTGGGGCTTGAACTCACGAAGCTGTGAGATCATGATCTGAGCCAAAATCAAGAGTCAGACCTTAACCGACTGAGCCACCCAGGCGCCCCATAAATGGGCTATTTTGTAGCAAGTGCATGACTAAGAGGAGTAGTAGTAGTTCAGTACATGCTGGATTCTAGAGCTTTATCAGGCCGTGAAAGGGCAGGGGCTCGAGCAGAGGCCTGAAGCAGCGACCAGAGGAGTTCCCTCAGTCTGTCTCAGACCCTTTCTAGACCAAAGGCTGGCCCTGAATGTGAACATGGCCCTCGGGCCATGTCAGTGGAGTGTGGCTCTGAGATTTGGCCTTTTATTCCAGCTCACAGGAGACAAGATCCTCTCTTCACACTCCATACACAGATAAGCATTCTGAATGGCAGGCAGATCACAAGAATGAGAATTTGGGCATTCTATTTTGCACAGGTGGCCGTGTTTGGGGTCTGGACTACAGACACTGTGATGATGAGGTCTCGCTTCCCTCAACCTCCCATGACCCATTCATCCACCTTATCCCATCCAATTGTTTGATACTTGTTCTTACCCCTGTTTCTGTAAGGGTGAGGGGGAATTCCTACTCTACTTTCCTGGAAGGAAAGTGAGAGAGGACCGCCCCCTCTTTTCTCTTCACTCACTCTTCCTCTCCAAAGAAGGAATGGCTTGTCTGGTGGCTTAGAAGGAGTTGGGCTCCAATCTTTTGCCCTGCCCCAGCCCTCTTTCTTTCTCTCTTTGATTCTGCTGTAGGTAAAGGTAGCATATTCTTCATTCATCT